AGCGTATCGAGAGCTTCAGAGACCAGACACGAAACAGCTCAGCCGATAGATGGAGACTAGTAAGGCTCTGTGGACGGGAAGCTTGGTGAGGCATCGGATCAGCTCGGTAGGTCCTAAGACATGGGGAATGGATGGTGAAAGAATGGTAGAGAACACATGTTTATGCTGCTGATGATCAGTGACGAAGGCTGTTGATATGATACAAGAGGTTGAGATCTTGCTATCAGATGACTACAGGGTCGCGGGAACACTTGAACTTTCGTCTATCGGAAGTCGTTTGTCTCAAATTTCAGTCTTTCTGGCCGTTGTGACTACCTACTGCATGAGTATGCTGATGATGGCTCTCTCGTCTCCGTCCGCTATCTAGATCTCTGATCTATGTTCTGCCCGGCCTCTTTCTCGTCCGATTCGCCATTGAAATAGGACTCGGGTTTGACGCCGTGAAAGCCGTTTACGTGACATCTTTTACCTGCTCTGTGATCCCGTGCCTTTGGGTCTCTGCCCGCGTGGACCGGGACCAGGATTACCAACTACATCATGGCGCCGAGTCTGTCCATTCGAATGTGTCCAGTTCACTTGTACATATACACTAGAACTTGGGTAGCTTCGATAAATTGATATCAAAGTAGGGAGAAGATCTTCGTCCGTCGTCTCTTCAGGCTGAGACTGTTGCTGAACATCAACTTCTATCCCGAAATCTATGCTATTTTGAAACCCTAAACGCAAGTGGATTGCCATTTGCCCACATCTCCAAGTGCTTTAACGTGCATCCGGGTAAGAATAGATGAATTTGATCTAGAAGTTATTGGTATATAAGAGGTATCCCCTGGCTTTCAAACGGAAACCCGCCAACTTTTTGCTCGACTTCATATTGAGCGGGGCCTAATATCAGCAAGCTCGCGGTTCAAGAGTTTGATCAAAGAGGCTCAATGAAAGAATTTCGTGTCCAGCATTCCAGCCTGAGGGAGGAATATAGTGGAGGTAGAGCACATCTTTCTAGGGAGAAGCCACCGAAACTTCTCAATCTTTATGAGGCTACCATCCTCCTCAAGCTGATCGGCTCTCTTTCCACTCCTAGATCGCGTCGTTGGTATAGATGTGGAAGCTCAGACATACTGTCCGATTTGCTGAGCGCCGGCCCGTCCAGTCGCTTCTGGCCAAGGTCTCGACCTGGGGCTATTGTACGGTAGATAATTAGGGCAGTATGTCACGACTCAGGCCGTCGTCGTCCTTGGTATGGTCCAATGGTCCAGGGGGAACATCAGGGATACGTGAGGTAGATTGAGATAGTTCGATTGTCATCATAGTTGTTTTGGATTCGACTGTTGTTGCTCTGAGGACCTCGAATGATACGACATGGTCTGAGTTCAAAAGACACACAAGCTTTGAAATACAGGATGCCACTGCATTGAGAACACCCCGGTCTGTCATCCTCAAACTCTCGAACAATAGGAGAGCCTGTGCTCTTACGAAGTCGCACTGGTTTTGGGCCCTTACTGCTGGGTAGAACACATTCGTGAAAGAGGGGGGATTGTATCTGCATGGTGGAGGTTGAAGGTTTACTTGTGTCATCAAAAGGAGAAACTTTTGGCACAGAGTAGAAAGACATGTCGATCTTCTCTCATCTTTTCCAACTTCGTGTATCTACTTCGGAAATTTCTTCAACAAGCCCTGTACTACTGTGGTAATACGTCCAACGGCTTCCCAAGTATGATGGCTACTTTGTTTCTAGGTCTCGGTGTTGTTAATTTTCATACTTTATAATAGAACAGGAATGAGGTGCGGGCGGAGGGACATATTGAGACTCGATCAACGAATTCGCGCCCCAAAAGGGTTAAAGGTCCTTTTTCAAGACTTGAATGAGATATGGATGAATAGTCACATTTGAGCGAATAGGACAATGTCAAAATGAGACCAGGGACCAAGTTTTGGATCCCAGTGCTCTAACGGACCAGCGCTCAGCGTTTGTGATAGTTCAAGTGTAGGTCTGGAAGGACGTTGGAAACAAGTCGGAGGCCACTGTAACCTCGGAAGTACCTCCTGAGATTAATTTGAGCTGCGAGTCACAACATCCTACTCGGCGAATGAGTTGGCATGAGAAACTTCCAAGCTTGATACTTAGATGGAGGAAACTTCAAGCTAGAACTCGACGGTGGACGTCTGTCCTTGGCATGGGCAGAGGTTTAGGCCAAGTGAACGGATAAACTTGCAGTAGGTCATACACTCGAGATAGTTCAGGTTCATTCAAGTCTCGTTAGGTCTCACAAAAAGCTCAAGTGGCCTCTGACACCCTTGGCTGCCTTATGGGGAGCCTGAGCCTGAGTTACTCATAGATTAATGGAGCCGCGAGCTTCGAGTTTCACAACAACAGACACCCCCTGCGTACTACACGCCTTCTGGCTCAAATGGCCGGTTTCAGTCTGAAAGGTTTCTTGACTTACATGAAATGGCTCCGTTCATCATCATGCAGAACATTTTGCCGCGACTACCCTACGCACAGTAGAAATCTCCCAGACATAAAATTTCGGACCGAAATTCTTAATCAGGATAGAAACCAAGCCCGATGCTTTCCGCTTACCCCCATGCTCCAGGATCTGATACAAGATATCTCCTTATAGAGATCTGCCGTGCCACCCCAACTGTCCCAGCTGATCAAGCCGTGTCATATCAGGCTTCAGCCCCATCTCTAACGAAGATACCGAAAAACGTCTCACGGCGTGACAGCAAGCCATCTCCACACCTTCTAGCTATCAGGTTACACCACGGCGAAAATCATGCCCGCTTATAAGCTTTGTCCGACACACTGCGGAGGTGTGGCAATCAGAGAGGTGGTCGCACGACGGTGGTCGGGGCCCGCACCGGTGGAGGCTACGTCCACACCGGCCCCGCCTATCGGCCCCGGGCCCGGATCGCCGAGAGATGGGCGCGCACAGTGGCTTGTTGGTTGCCTTCCCTCCTGATCGTCGCCCAGAACACAGGCAAGATGAGATGAGGGCAAGAAGCTTCTCTAGGCAGAAGGTCCAGACCGGTCGCCGCCACCTCCGCGTTCCCTCCTACCTTGACACCCTCCAAAGCGTTTTTACCTTAAGCGAACCAAACGTTGGAAGTCGCTAGGGGTGAGAGCGTCCACACGACCACGCCAACATCCTCCTTTTCCTTTCCCATTCTTCAACGGCCTCCTCGTCAAACATGCCCTTTCAAGCAACTTGCAGATGACAGATTCACAATTCAAACTCGGAAAATCGAACAACTGACAGAGATCACTCCACTGGGTACTCACAACGTGACAGTTTCCTCCCTCCCTCCTGGCACCTCTCACCCATCTTCACCCCCTGCCACTTCATCCTGCCTTAGCGGCCGGGCCTGGGTTCCAGCTTACCTACCTACACCCTTCTCAACTTCTACTACTGCCCAACATATGCGCGCACGAAACAAACGTCGCCCTCTTGGCTTCTTGCTCGAAATCTCACTCACCTGCTCTCACCGGTCCCGTCCCGTCCCTAGACGCCGCCCCTCACCGGTGAAGCCCATCCCGCCAGCCACAGTCCGTCCTCGCCCGACTAACAGCTGGTCACCACCATCACCACTGCACCTAGATGACACGAATGCCACCCCCCCGCAAGACTCTTGGTACGATACTTGGCCTATCTAGCACGTCGACCAGAGCAAGTCAAAGGGGCCGTGTCGGGAGCGTTAGGGAGAAGAGCCGTCCCATTCCGCCGCGCCGTCGCTAGTCCTGGCGTTGGTTGCCTCTACTCCGTACCCATCCTTCGCAGCGATGTTTCCCACCTTCCCCTTCTCCGCTACATCTACCCAGTACTTCTGACTGACTTCCGTCTTGCACACCACACGATACAAAGAAAAAGAATCGATAATGTCGCTGTCACGCCCTCATTCGTCCGCAGTGTTTGCGTGCCACACCGGGGATAATTTGACCTGGAACACGTCAGAACGAGCCAAGGTAGCGCGAGCGCGCCCGCGTCCCATGGCGTCTGTGCCGCAGGATAACAGATTCTGTAGGTTCCCATTCACAGACATGCACTCGCAGCCTGCTGTTGCGTCTTGCACTTTTCCCCATCCTGAGCTGCATTTGCTTATCGATGGGATAGTCTCTGCTTACTGGTACAGACATCGAGTTTCACTCTCAAGGCTGTCGCATGATTCGAAGCAAACCCCTCTATGACGATTCGACCTCTGATTCTGATTCCAACCTCCACACACCTTCTCCTCTCCCCCACGGAGAGCATCTCTCGACATCTCGATATTCCGCATAATCAGCAGAAGCTTTGCCAGAGGCCGCAGAAACATTGAGAACCTCGGTTCGTGCGATTGCCGGCATCCCGCGATCCCATCATCCCAATCCACCAAATTACCCACACGCGCGCGCGCCGCGAGGGAAAGCAAATAAGGTCCCAATATGGCGATGGTCCAAGACTTCCAGTGTCCACCCCCTTCACTTTCATCCCATCAACACCAACTTGCGACTCCCACGCTTCAGGTTGGTGGTAGCCTCCACACCACCAACCAGGCCTCTGGCGGCCAATGGCCGGCAGCAGAAGGTAGAGCTCCATCCAATGAGCAAGTATGGCACCGCTACGTTCATGCGCAGTGCACCCTTTCCAAGAATGCTGGATCACCACCATCATCCCGAATTAATTCAACGTGGGCTGTCTCGGACGCCACGATCATCGCAAGCCATCTTTCGTGGATGGGTGCCGACCATAGAGCCGTCTATTCAAGACACGCTTCTTCTGCAACCCTTACGAAATGCCATGCTGCGAGGGCTGGCAATGTCGTTGGGGCACTCGATGTACGCGACGGATGCCCCCTTGCCAGAATCCTAACTGCCAACATAGCAAGACATTGGACCGTATCGCGCGCAGATACAAAGTTTCTTGCCGCGAAACTGCAAACTTGACGGATGGAAAAGTGCTCGAAACTATGAATGCATTCAGAGTGTGTCCCAACGGCGGTTTACGGGCTGCGAGGTCGTGTTCAATCGCGCGACTCCTCGGACGTATGCGCCCTCAACCCCCCCGCCTAAGCCAAAAGTCTCGGAGGCAGCTCCGGTATCCGGCTATGCCTCACTGGATAAGGTAGGACCTGTCAATCACACCACCATGACCACCTCGGTTGACGGCGATTTCTTGCCAAGTTTACTGCTGTCAACGAAGAATATCTGCCGCATCCAAACAACCTCGCAGACGCAATACCAGCAAAGCCCCCCCTTCCCCCAAATTGCTATACTGCGTGACTGCGTGCAAGAGCTTGACAAGGACTAGGGTTCCACCCTTCTGCCGAAGTTTTGACTCTCTTCACGTGGATCGACCGGGGTCCAAAGTGGCGCATCCTTCTTCCTCTTCTCTCTCCCCGCCTCGCGCCTCGGTGCTTTTTGTCCATGTCCTTTGCCCCTTTACACCGAAGCTCGGCATATTCTACCGCCCAGCTTCTCATCGTGGGCATGGTTTTGAAACGCAATGCCCTCTGCCTATCCGTACAGTCATCAGTGTACAACCTGGAAGTAAATGACATTTGGCCCCACAAGGCTCTGGAGAAAACCCCCCCAGTCTCCGCCGACATTGTGACACCGGTCAGAGGTGGTTCGTGCCTGTCAATCAGCGGGGCTCATGATTGTCCACATGCCCACCGACCGTACCTGGCCATCGGGTCGCCCAAGATCGTCACTCACTTCAAGGTATCCCTAATCAACCAATGGAAAGTGGCAAGACAATGCAGGTTTATATCATCAGCAAATCAAAAACTCCTTTCTTTGGCCTATGAGAATCCCATAAGGGGGTATGTTCGCTCCCACAATGTGCAAGTCAAAGTTCGGTCCCAGTCAAGTGTGTAGGAAAAGGGGGGATAGATAGGGGAACGAAACGGGCTTGGGAGTGTGAAAAAAATAACAAATCAGAGAGAAATTCAAATCAAATGAAACATGACAATGCCCCCTCGAGGACCATAGCCTGGACTGGACAATCCTTCCCGGTTTCCTAACCCTTATTGTGTCCCGACCAAACCCATGGATGTGTGATGATGAGGTCCCTTCCGTCTTGATGCCGAACGATAACCCCGATGATGCGTATCCGTAAAGTTTGTGCGTAACAGCTTGATGCAGCCTGGCCTCCAGCCGTCCCATCCAGTGATGGACTTGACCTGCACCAGCGAGAGTTTCTGATGTGACCAGAACGTGTCGCTGCCAGGTAGCTCTCCTATGCCCGCGGCGGTTTTCCCTTCTCCGCTGTCCGCCTTCTGGTGGAGCGTGCCTTTTATATCTCGTACATGCGTTGAGTGAAACAAACGAAAGACTTCTTCCTCTGAACTTCCATGCCGTATTTTTTGTTTTGGTTGGCGGGTGCTGCGGGATCACCCGAAACCATTCGCGCTCTCTTCTGTGCTTTTGGGCGTTTTCTCTTTTGGGGTCAACTCATGCCATGCTCCCAAGACTCAATTCAACGTTCCCTCCCCATACATCAATCGCTAGTCGCTGTGCCAGTAAATATTCCATTCTTTCGCGCGAGAACCTCGAACCCGTTGCCCAAAATCGTCAGGACGCCTCGTGAAGGCATCGCCGAAAATGTCGAACCTAAGAACTCCATCCTTAAGTCGTTGGCGCTGGGTATTTGTTGTCCGAAGGGCATGAGACCGGATTCCCCCAAGTTCGTCTACCATAGTAAATGTCCGTTCCACGCGCCATGCTGAATGAAAATAAAGAAACCCAAACCGAAATGAATTGGTAAACGAAGGAAAGACAAGGCCGGAAGGAAGCCTCCACTATACTGCAGCCTGATAATCGAAGTCGTCGAGGATTGAACGCCCACTGATGATGTGTTTCTGAACTCCGTTGAGAACATGGACGAAGTAGTCGAACACGACGCCAGTGCTGGTGACTGCGGAAGGCCAGTGCAGTCAGGCCCGTCAGGGAAGGGCGAGTTAAAACCATGTGATATCGGGAAAAGAGGAAAAAAATCAAGATCAGTGACTGATGCCTAGAAAATCAGATGCCGATGTAAATGCGTATGCGCCGAGATCTTCACACAGCGCCGTCCTCGATGCTGTCCAAGTATCTTGTGGCTTTGCCTTGTTGCCGTGTATCCACACTTGAACACCGTAACGCCAGAACTCTCGCCATACTGCCTCTGGAAGTCAGACAGGCATCCCAACATAACTGCATGCCTTACCTGCCAAGCATGTGAGGTGGCAGGTAGTTCGAGTTGTTTCCATTCATCATGGAACCAGGCCCACCAGCAGTCATGGTATTGCTGTTGTATCCGTTCCACACGTTGTTATTACCGCTTGCTGGGAAGCCAGCAACTGCGTAAGGTGGGGTGCCCGAGGAGCCGTTACTGAATCGCCCAGAGCCAAGACCAGGTGGCGCTGAAAGTCCTGGAGGAGGACCGTTGGTGGTCTTGAACCCATTCGTGGAACCTGTCATCATGCCGCTCATTGGAGACGTTGATTGGCCTGGAGTCTGGCCCGACCTGACTCCCAATGGGTTCTTCGAGAAGCTGAGGCGAATTCCTCCCTTTACGCTATTATGAAGCGGATGTCCGTAGAGCTCATGGAGAGCTTTGGTAGCAAAGGAAACATCCTCAAACTCCACAAAACACATGGGCCCGTTCTGCTTGGTCCGGAAGCAAAGCCTCTTGTAGCCCCGTTGTTTGGAGAACATAGCCTTGAGCTCTTCCTCGGACGTGTCGATAGGAAGATTGCCCACGTAGAGAGTGTTGCAAGGTGGATTCTGGTCAGCAGGATTGACCGGGGGGAAGTTATGGCGGCCGTAAGGACCAGTTCCCATATGGAAGGGTACAGTGTGTGGGCCCCCGCTCATCACAGTGGGTGACATGACTGGGTGAGCCGACATCGCTGCCATTCCTTGTTGACCGTACTGCGGAAGCGACGATGGGCTGGGTGTTGTGCTGGTGGTGTTGAGGGACAGGCTCGCCAAACGTGATATGGGAAGCTGTGGGGCGGTGGCTCTTCTCTGAGCCGTAGCTCCGTTTTCCGCGTAGGCGACTGGGTCCTTCAATAGCTCGCCGGTCTCGTCATCATCGGCCGCATCATTGTTAATCAACGATTTCCCAGAAATGCGTGTCCGTTCTGTGAGGTGATTTCCGATGGGAGACTGAGGCGAGAACAGGTTCTGGTAGTGCGCGCTGGACTCTGGGTTGGGAAGTTCGCTGGAGCCGTATATACCGTTCATAGGGGGCGATATCTTTTCGAGAGATTGGAACCCGCCGTTGAATCGTGATGGTTGTCGCGAGGATGGGGCTGAAGAGGCCGCGGAGGATGCAGTGCTCGACGATCCGGTCCCAGCGGGTTCGGCGTACCTTCTCGACGTGGTCGGGCTGCCTCCAAGGATCTCGACAATCATATTGGCGTCGTTAGAAATGTTGGATTTCCCGTTCAGCATGTTCTTTGTTTCGATTGCCCCATTCGTAGTCCGGAACTTCAGGACGGCCGAGCGGAACCCCTTGTCTTCTGATTGATCTACGGGGAGCACTTCAACGTCAACAAGCTCTTTGGACCAAACCACCATGAGGCGAAGCGATTCTTCCGAAGTGTTCAGCGGAAGGCGACGAATTAGGACAGAGGCCGCCACAGAAGATGGATTGGCGTATGGCGTTCCGACAGGCATAGCCGCATCGCGCTCAAAGGGGTTGACGGACGAGAGGAACGGTGCCTGGGTGTTTGAGGACCTGAAGGGTTGCGATTGTTGTAGAAAAGCCGGCGCAGCCATGGCAGTAGTTTTCTAATTGATTGATATTTGTCGTTGTTGATGTAGGAGGATTGTCGCGACTCGATGTCATCCCCGAAGGTCGAGTGTGGCTGATGAGACTGTAAATGCGCCTGGTTCACCTATGCTTGCTTGTCATCCGCCGGTGTTGCGGTGCATGCGCTGGCGCGTGGTGCCTTGGATTGCCTCGGAACTGCGACAAAGAGAGGGAGGATTGCAACAGTCGCGCAGCTCAAGTGGGAAGTCTTGGAAGCGCGTGCGAACAAGAATGCGGGAAAATGGGCCAAGACGCGGTGAAATTATCGGGTGTTGGTGTCGGTTTTCGAGTGCGCGACGGGAGGGTACAGGGCGACGAAAGAATGTTGCAAAGAGCGATATCGAAAAGTTGAGGGGGCTGGACAGGTTTTGGGAGAAGGGGGGGGGAGAGATGGAGCGTGCGGGAGGAGTTGTCGCAAGGTTATGTATCGTGCCTTAAAGTTCGGGGAGGAGGAGAGAAATTGAGCAGGGTGGAAAGGTACCGGGAGGGAGTGGTGGCACTGATGGCAGACAAATGGATGCAAAGGCAAGGTGTGATGGTGGGAAGTGTGTGGTGGGCGAAGTATGAAGTGGTTAAAGTGAGAGACGGCCAGGAAGAATGGTGTGCGCGCCTTGATGGGTTGAGTTGAGTTGGGTTGAGTGCGGCGCGGTGCGGTGCGTCAGGACAGCGGATATGGATGGAAGAGGGAAAGGGACGGGCTCCTGGCTGGTCTGCTTCGCTCCAAGAGCATGGGGGGGGGGGGGCTCAGGGAAGCAGTGCAACTGCTGGGCTGGTTGCGTTCGACAGTCGGGTAGCCGTAGCTCTCTGGGAAACTGGGACGAGGTGACTGAGACTTGGGTACCGGCGAGTGGTAGGCACGCAGCAGATGACAGGCCAGAGCAGGTCGACTTGCCGGGGCCCCTCGAAGCTTGATGGTGACAGGTACCCAATAGGACTACACCCACGGGATGGGTTGACTCGATGATTAAAGTCGGAAAACGACTAAGCCAAACTCGACAGCACGACTACCGTGACGGGGGGTCCTTCTGGAGTTAGACTGCTTGGGTCCTGGTCGGCAGGACAGAAGAAACTGGGGGCACGATTTTGTTTGTGAGCCTGCCTGCGCGAAGGTGTCGAGTTTGGGTGAGAGAAGAGGGGTCGTAAGGAAAAAAAGCGGGCGGAAGTGCGGAAAGATGTTGCAGGACGGCGTCAATGTCGTCGGTTTATCGTGGGGTTTGGCGGCGCAAAGTATCGAGAAAAGGTGGCTTGTAGCCAAAGTCTGTTGGGTCTGTACCTAGGGGAACCCAGGGAGTGCGCTTGATGATGGGAATCTGGCGATGTGGAGAGAGATGCGAAGTACTCCGTAGTGTTTTCGTATGTACAAACGTGAAGTACCCGGCTAGTATCGAAAAGCCAGTGAAGCGGAAAGGCTGCAGCTGGGGCGCTGGGAGGGTGTGTGAAAGCAGACTCGGTCGGTCGCGGTGGCTGTTGGGCCTAGGGCGTCGACGGTGGTTCCTCTCAAGGTGGTGGTCCCTGTTCGAGCTCTCTTGGGTTGTGGTCCAGTCCAGTCCACCACTCCAGTCGCGTTTGGACTTTCTGGACTTTACTCTTCAGAAAGTGGGAGTGGAAGGGATGGACAAGGGATGCTCGTACTGTGGAGGTCTAATTGCGCCGCCGCTGGAGCACTCGGGAGGGACGTATCGTACCAATCAGAAGCCGATCGCGTAAGGTGGGAAAGCGTTTGGTGTGGGCTAAGGCAATGCTAAGGCACGACCTGGAAGTATACTTTCTGTCTACTTTGCCTGGTGGGGAGGTGCAACCACCCTGACGAAGGTTCTGTGTAAGTGACTAGCCTGTCGCAGTCGTAGATGTTGTCGCCGTCGTCGAGAGTGCGGTATTCGTACAGACAGGCAGCGATTGCGTTATGTCTGCCTCGCCCAGAGAAACCTGTGAGTGACAGTCGCCGACTCGACACTGATTCTTGGAAGAAAACGTTTGATATCAAGAGCAGTTGGCGAATTGCGTCGACAGTTTCTGCGCCTGTGCTTTTGCTGTGGCGCTCGATTGGGGGTGTGTGCAGCGAATGAAGCTGGTCTGGTGAGATGGAGGGTGCCAGTGTCTGCTTTCCAGAGGGACTGGGAGCCGTGGGAGCAAGCCGCAGATGAGAAGCGGGAAAAGGAGAAATACTGAGCAGGAGGAGGTACGTGTAGGCTGTCCTTTGGCAGCTAGGTTGGTGGTAAGTGTCGTGGAGGTTGCGTGCTCATGGAGGTGTGTCTTTGATTGCCGTAGCAGCAGAGGCAGGTCGAGGTCGAGGTAATGGTATGGTAGGGTTGGGAAGCGATGGTGATGTAGGTCAAGGACTCTGGGTCGAGGTCGAGGAGACGCAGCTTCTGGACTCGGTGGATGTGGGAGACGGAATTAACCTGGAGGCTAGCGGGCGGGCGAACGAGCGAGAGAGACAAGAGAAGGGAGGCCCCTGCCGGTACGTCTTCCTGTTAGGCCGGTTTTCTTGGTGGCACAGCCTTTAGAGGGGATAACGGCGTCAGGAGAGGGTGCGGATTGGTCCAGGGTGGTGGTAGCGGTGCGACCGGGCTCAGGGGTCTTGTAGACTTTCGGCGATCGTTGGCACCGTTTGAGGGCTGGTGCTTGCCAGGAGGCGCGTGTGGTGGATGGTGGTGTCTCTCTTTCAGATATCGGCATGGGCTGTCGTCTGTCTCTTGTCTTGCCAGTCTGTCCGTCTGTGTCTTTGGGCAGAACGGTACGGAGTTGAAGGGCTGCGCGTCTGTGCTATCGTCTGTGCGTGTGTGCGTGTAAAGTGCGCGTTAACTGGAGGTGCGTTTGTGAGAACCGTGCGGGCCGAAGGTGTCTGGTTCTTTGTCTTTGTGCGAGGTGTGTATCTGTAACTGTGCGAACCGGGAGTACGAGCGCGACATATGTCGACGTCTGCCAGAGGTAACGTCGAGGGACAGGAGGAGTGGTGATTGTGTAAATCGGGTGAAGAGGAAGGAAAGGAAGACACGGTGAGCATAATGCGGAAGACGTGAGGTATGTTACGTTAGAAAACGGAACTGGGAATGAATTGGCCAGCTTGGTGTTGAATGGTTGCACTGTCGCACTTTCCTTTCCTTTTCTTTCCTTCGACTCCTTCCTACCTCCGCACTCACGAATACCTTCCTTCCTGCCTCTGAAGTCTGAACACCTTTCATTGCTGCGCACCGTCACTAGGTAAGGTAAGGTGGGTAGTTACGGATACCGTGTGCTCCTGCCGTGGGAGCATTCGTACCTGCCAGCACCACATAACTGCATGGTACCTTCCTTCCCTCGCCAATCTGAGTTGGACGTGGGAGGCAGCAACGACAGGGTGGAGTCGGCCTTTTCGAAACAGGAAAAGAAGGAACACCGCAGATTGCAGATTCACCTTTCCCTCCCTCCCTGCCTGCTCAACGTGCAGAACACAAGAGTTTGAAGACCTACCTGCCCTGGTGACGGGAAGCACCTGCCACCAGGGAGCAAAATGCCCGTACCTTGGCCGATACCTGAACGGGAAGGGGGATGGGAATGGGAATGGGAATGGGAATGGAAAGGCAAGAACGAGCCGGCCATCATTGCACTGTACGAGCGTCATATCTGCAACACTGTCCGCCTCATATGGAAGTGTCTCTCTTGCACGTTGCACCTCCATCTGCCTCCCTTCACGTCTCTATCCGTACTGCGATTACATACTTACCTACCTTAGGTGGTACCGGTATTCAGGCTTTGCGTGATGTACCTTGCTTTACGGATATTTCGACTGCCTACCTACGTAAGGTACTTCGTCTGTTTCTCGTGAAGCTTTTGTTTTGTCATTTTTTTTTCTTTCTTTTTTTCCCCCTTCGTATTATGCTTTTTGCTGTTTGCGTCAAGCAATTGTCAGAGAAGGAAGGGTTGTGGATGCACGTGTGGAAGATAAGGTAAAATTCGATCAACGGCAAGCCCCCCTTATAAGCCCACGTTCTAATTGCACGACGACTGATACTTTGAAGGTACTCGATGCTCGATTCTCGATGCACTTCGCTACCATGCAGATGCCGGCGCACGCATCACCAGTATTGTCCCTGAAGAACCAAATCAAATGATGAAGAAACCTCTCGAGTCCGCCGCACCAGGCCAGCATGGCCAGCTGCATCGTAAGCTGCCGCCGCTGAAACCTAGGAGGATTGAGAACGGGGTCATTGCATGGGGCTAGACAAGCAAGAGTGTGCCTCGCCCTCGATGCGCCTTTGCAACCGCTCGGGAGGACGGACTCAAATGTAGGGTGAGATACCTACGCAGTATTTTCTGCTGCGCGCACTCTGCACCTCGCGCCTCGCGCCTCTCGCCTCTGACATCGACTTGTACGGCACCACGAATACCGGTACATCATTCCTCTGCCTCTCTTGTGCCTCTTTGCACGCCGAGGGTTGAACAGAGTCACAGACAGCCACCATGGCTCCAACAAATATGTCGGCCCTGATCTACCACGCGAGACCACAGACCAGATGAGGCCATGTGCCCATCACGCCGGTCAGTTGGCGGAAACCAAACCAAGCTGCATAGAACATTAGCCTACTAGCCCACTCACCTTGCCTTACCAGTCCGAACCCGGTACTCATACATAGTGATACCCACCATTGTCGACAACAGTTCCGTCCCAAAGTACGTAGTACCTACCGATACTTCGTCTGCTTATCCACCAGCCCAGCAGCATGGGGCAAGGAACACCGCATCCGCATCCGCGAAGCAAGGGACCCGACCAGACCCTCAAGCCCGTGCGGAACACTGATAGCGTGGACCAGGACCTGGACATGGGCAGCTGTCCACACGGGGTATTCACTTCGTTTCTGTATCTGTAGGGCTCTCTACTCCCCCTCCAACTGTCAACCTGCGCACAAGGCCAACAGCTTTTTGCGACGCAGACAAAAAGATGGTGTCGACGCCAGCCCTGTCACCTACACTTCTCTTCGATGAAACCCCTTGGTACTGTCAACTGCATCGCTGCATCATGGGCCGTCATTGTGCGTCCGCCGTGAGGCACTCAAAATACCCTCCACATAGGTACATTTGTAGGGGGAGCTGCCAGCTAGGTACCCGTAGGCCGTGTCTGGCCAAGGTTGGAGGGTACATGCACTTTCTCGCTCATGGTCCTCGGCGCCCGACTGCCAAGATCCTTGGAACCGCCGGCGATATTCGAATTGCCCTCACATCTGGTCATTCTTTCTGCCCCGACCCGTTAACGTTGCATAATTTGAGTTCTGGGGATTCGAGTCTGTGCCGCGCCTAAGACTCTAGACATCGTCAGCCCTCCTGCCGGTACTCAAAACATCCCTCACCCGTTCCCGCCTCACACATTCTGCATGCGCCGAGGCGCAAGCCTGCTGGTGCCGTCAAATGCAGATAATCAAACTTCTGCGGTGAGACCCCCCGAAACGCCTTATTAGCAGACCACACATATATCTGCAGGCAAGATATATGGGCGCACCCTTTGGTTACAGGTCCGATATGCAGTCGAAACTTTTGCGCCTCAACATATCGCTACGGTCACAGTATACGTGAAAGCAGTCCAGCCAGGAGTTGGAACGTGTGAATGTCACCTGCCAATCGCGATGCTGGTCGGCATGCCGTTGAGGCTGCCAGGTTGTCTTTTAAGCGTCCGCCGGGAGATGGATTCGAAGCCAATCCACGTTGAAGGGGGCCATGGAAAGCATTTCTCTATCCATCAAACTTGAAGATGGAGAAATTAGTCTGAAGCGCAAAGCAACATAAAAGAGATTATCTACAAGTTAATTGACAAGCTACAGGTAGTGCGGTTTCGATAAGATATGACAGCGATGTCGAACCTCCCAGACCCTGATTTCCTTCGAGCACAGCGTTGAGCATCCTCTACTTTTCTCAGCCTGCAGATTGGTCCTGGGAATTGTGGCGTCATTCCCTCTTCCTTGGACATCTCTTTCGCTTTAGATTGCTGCGTTGAGTTTTGACAGAATGCCTTGGTACTGCTGGCTGACCGGTTCAAGTACACTAGTCACCCACACCGACCATGGCCGGTCTCCCACGATGACGCTAAAGCAAGACTACGGCTGCCCATTGGATTGCCGAGCAAGCTCCGATTTTCCGGCTGTCAACACGATGCCACTCTTTTCTAAACCTCTCCGGCCCGGTGGTTGCCTCTGGATAGGCCGGGCGGATGAATGCAGTGGATCGGTCTTTGCCCAGAGGCAACTCGTCCAGTCTCGACTCCACCAACTATTCAAACATGGCTCCTCCCTGTGGCAGTGCGCCTATCATAGGGCGCCTCCGAATCCTTGTTGTCCTGCATCTCTGCTTGTCGCTGATACACTCAAAGTCCGAAGATGTTCAAAGAGCACATCGTATCGCAAGCACATGCTCTCAGCTAGCCGATTACCTGCAGGCTGGTACAGGCACATCGTGCATCTGAACATAGAGAGACTTAATTTGGGTACAAGTCGCAAGGTGCACGCACGTGAAGTTGGATTCCACTCACTACTCTGGATCAAGTTGGTGGATTCTCACGTTTCCATTCTTGTTATACGACATTTTCACCCAGCTAATCCCCTCTGGCCTGGCAAACCTGACACGCCTGAGTAGTCAAAGACAGTTTGTACGACAGGAATTATGCATCGCGACAACCCATCCTGATGAGATCCTTGCGTGAAGAGAAAATCTCCGACCAACGCTGGAGGCTAATCCAATGACTTTCATCATTGTTTGTCGTTCCACTCTCTTGAGGATGGCTAGACTGGGAGCGGTAGCTGCTACCATCATCTCGAGATATCGACTTTCTACAACACTCTTTAGCCTCCTATGTTAGCTGCCTACTCGCAGATTGGCAACCATGACTAGCTCGTCAGTGTAAGTCTGCCTGGTGGCTACCAACATACTCGATCAACTTCACCACACATTCTCACAACCATCAGAAGCGAGCAACCCATTAGCATGCGGCGCAACTTGAATTCTCTCACAGACACAAGTCATGAAACTCACGGATATAAGTCGTTACAACCACAATGAAAGGTAGACGTTGTGCTAGAGGTTCCCCCCAGCTTGGTTGTTAGACCTTCGTCTCAGAAGCATCCAAAGCCACAGCTTCCTAATAACAACATGTTTCTCTGGGCTTCCTCCGGAAGCTTGTAGCACAGGCATCTGCCGGTAACGTACAAGGACCTGATCACAATGCAGAGCCTTACTTTGTCGCCATCTTCCTTAGTAATATTCCGCGGTGCGTCTAAAATGCTCTACACAGTCACGCGTTTGGTGTTTGACTTATTTCCTTACCGCAGCCCAGTCGACGTCTGCGGCCCAATGCTCTCTGATGCTGGCTTCTGGTTTGTCCCGTCATCCGCTCGCCATCCCATCAACAGCTTGAGAGACCAGCCAACCCCCCGATAAAGGGGACAACGAGACTGCATGGGATGTCAATTGTTACCCAAAACAAATCCGAGAGCACCTCGCTTTCGCCCTTTCACGAGCTCAGAAAACAACCTGAGTCCAGGAATACCGAAATGATCAGCAAGCTGGAGACACGAGGCTGAAGACAGAACTCGGCACTGTGTATGTCGGAAACGATCGCCATACCAAACGCTCAAAAAGTGAACTTATTCTCGGAAATACATCCATGTCATCTTTGCCGAGCTTTCTCCTCCACCCTTCAGCATGTGCCGCTGTATATACCCGACCCCTGGAGGGCCTCGAAATGCAGACCAGCAGTTCCGACATTGTCACGAAACAACAAAGGGCACTCGTGCTTTCTTTGGTTAGTGAGGCACTCACCACTTTGCGTAGTGGCTGGCAGAAATCACATAGCGAGCACGAGCTCGCAAGAGGACCAGTCTCCTCCCCGGCTTGGTGCGATTGCAGATACGGACGCAAACGACGATCAAAAGTATATCAGGGGCGGACTTGCTCTCCTGAATCACATCATCCTCGAGGCTGTCGAATCACCTCTTATCTTCGAAGTGGCCTAGAGGGGACTCATTTTGGAAGAATTCCCCTCCTTGAGGCTCATCTTGAACACCAATTCATCAGGCTGTGGTTACACAAGTGAACAGACTCCACGATTGACCAAGCGTAGGGAACGTTCGAGGAACTCCAGCCTTGCACAAGTTCGCCTTTTGTGCTTTTTCCTCCCAACTTAGAGTTCACGCACCGCGAGTTTTGACCTGTCTCTCTGGCTGTTGCATTCGTCGCTTCGACAGAAGGTATTCGGCATTCTTAATCATAGCGACATCGACGTTCTGCTGGACATATTCGACCGAAGCGTGAGACGCCCTGGCCTTTTACAGGTAATTTTCGATATCGAATCTCCGCAAGAGTACCAAGTCCGAACGGATGCTCAGGACAAGCCACTGCCTCACATACAGTAGCAGCCATTCTGGTATCTTGACGTTTCCTGAACGACCATGTACGTTCTTTGTTCGTCAGCCAACCGTTAGAAACTTAGATCATGCACGAGAGAGACGACTTCCTGAAAGTAGAGTCTCATTGGCCGGCAACCCATGAAAGTACCACTTGTCGTGCATGGGACTACTGTACGGATGCCATGGCCAGTCACTTCCGGATGCAGAATCCTGAAACTAGCAAGGAAGATGCACTGTTGGGACGAATTCAAGCGCTCAGCGTTTGGAGAGATTGGCCCAAACTTTGCTTCTCGCATGGCACTGGGCAGAAGGCCCTGCCACTGGCTACAATCTTATGTCTTCAGAGTAACCCTCTTCCGGGTTGAATTAGCGGCATGGGGGGCTATCGAGGATAGCTTGGGAAGGATGGGAAACGTCCGTAAGCAAGCCCCAGTTTGACTCGGTAATTCGTAAACTCATGAACAGACACCAGGCTCTCACGGCTGGTTGAGGGTGGGCAGGCCTGCCAATCATGATGACTCTTCAGGTACCGAGCCTAACAGCGATGAGCTGTCTGCATGTGTCCAGCTCCGGCTAAACCAGCAACTATGACCTACACAACGTCGGGCCTGGGCCTTGGAGGCTCGGTCTGACATCTGTCACTTGTGAATGATCCGCAACGGCGCATCTCTATCCGCGGAGGTGTGCTCCCAAAGTGATGCCGAAGGCTGGCTACTGCCTCTACATCGTTGAGATAGACTCGTTAATCTTGTGCCTCCTGAGATCTAGATGAAGCAGCCTCGGCTCTCTCATAGGACGTAGTCGACCATCCCGTTGTCAAATCTGTACTGACTGAGGTGCCAGTGAAAGTCTGTGGCTGTTGTATCAGGTCGAGCTCAGTTTGCTGGGGAGACACCAAGATGCGATAGATTACGAATATCAGCTATGGTTGTCACAACAGCGACTCTTTCTCCGGCCTTCAACTCCAGATGCTGATGGTGCGAGATGCCTAGGTACCTAGTGCAAACAATGACGAACTATGAGCACGCTCATGAGAGGGTCCGATCAAGAAGAAGCGCTAAGATTGAATGATAGCGGGGTCGACTGGACTGAAAGCGGCCCAAGATGAAGAAATGGAGAGTCAGGACCACCCAACGGGGAGGGTGTCCGCCAGGAAGACTTCCGATACGATGGAGTCGGCTGTCCCACCGTTCACAAGAGGGAGGGGTCTGCGGGGTTGTTGGGAAAGCTTGGCGCTGTCGATTCTCACGAACTTGCCCAGATGACTGCCGACGTTGGAAGGCTTTCGGAAACCCGATTGTATCCTGCACGGAGGTTGTCCTCCCCTTTTCTCGGTTCCATGGCCTTCCCATGCCACTGATCTCGGCCGGGCTTTCATTGAAACATCAGATTCGAGGCGAGCCCCACTCCAATCGCGAGAGATAGACGAGCAAACAAGCCAACAGGAGGAAGTGGCTGGCTGAAGTTTGGCAGGTGCGTTTAGAAGCCAATGCTATTGATTGCATTGTCATGTAAAGGATCAGAAGAGCTGACTCTCAAGCATGTTGGAAAGAGTCTGGAGCATTTGGGAACTGAAGCGAACAAACCCCTCATCATCTCTCGACTTTGGACAAGACAGGCGTTCGGGTGGCCGAAGCGCCGAGCCGCCGCCAGGCCCGGGCTACGTGATATTTGTTTGTGCAGAGCAGAGAGCCCGTACCTACTACGTGATATCATTACAGATCCTGCACCGATCACAGGCCAAACCCACATGAACAGTTCAGATTGCGGATGGTGGCATGCGCAAGACAAACCGGAGCGCGTCTGTTCCGTGATTCTGGGCTCTCGCGCTCGCAAAAGCCCAAGGGGCTGGTTCGAACCACGATCCACTGCCGGACGTGAGGAGCATTCCCGAATGCCCAGGAAGCGGAAGCCATGGTACGGATACCGGTACCTAGAGGCGTGGCCAGCTCTGTCTGCTCAAAGTCAAGGTCATCTGACCTCTGAATCTCTGTCCCCTTTCCAGTCAACCACTCGGGGGGCTTCCGCGGTCTTGGGCAGACAGGGTTGCCTGGCCGTCAGCAAGGCCTTGCTTTTTTGGCTCGGGGCAGGCTAGTTATCTCGAGGAATGTCAAAGCAAGGGTCCTTCTCCAGCGACAGGAATCCGTGCCTGCGAGAGGCAAAATATGCCTCTTCCCAAGGTTGTTTTCTTAAGTTCCTTCTTTCTGTCATCAACAAGCGTGCGAGCTGCAGCACACCAAACAGCACTCATCCGAAAACCGCCGCAACCATAACACCCTCCTCGGTCTCCTTCCCATCGAGTCTAAATTTGGGCCGCACACTTTGAGAGAGAGACTTCACGGGCAGCAGCAACTATATGCAGGCCCCGAGACAACCGAAACATTTGGCGGGGAGGGGGGAGGGGTGTGCTCGACCAGCCTGGCACGGAGCCCACAGAGCCCCATGCCACACTGCGTCTGGGGTTTTATCTCCAGGGTCAACTTTTTCTAACCTCGTCCTGCTTGTCAACGTGCAGCTGCTGCTTCAATCTTTAAGCATGTGGCTGACTACAGAAGACGGGCTAACTACGGGAGTACGAAGTATGGGCATACCTTACAGATACTCCGTACAGAGAGTAAGGATCCTCAGCCCGATTACAGGCTTCGAACACGGGTTCGACGCCCGCTGGGCCCCCCGCCGACGCGTACCTATCTGCCCGTCTAGGTCAAGCGGCTCCGGCGAGAGTTGCATGCTATTTTGTCTTCCCTGACTCGAAAGTTGATCTTTATCAAAAGAGTTTCTTCAAACGTCTCCTCCCACAGGATGGCGGGACCCTCTCTCTCTCTCTCTCTCTCTCTCTCTCTCTGAGTTGAAGGCTCCGGCGCCCCGCTCCGTGTTTTTCTTTTCTCTGGCCGGACCGAATGGTCTGGGATGTTCGTGCCGGTCACCGGGGCGGAGACGACCTTTTGATGAAAAGATCCGCCGTCGTCATCTTTGGCAATGACCAACTGTGCCTCTCCCCTCTCCTCCCCGCCCCTTTATCTTATGCCCACCTTTTCTCGCGCACACAAAGTGATGCAGGGACGGGAATCCTGCCAGCCGAGAGAGGCGGCACACATGGCTCGGGTCTCGTAATTTTCAGCCGCAGCGCGCTACGGTATACGGTGCTTACCTGACACTTACAGAGTATCCGTACCTAAGGTAGCGACGCTGTCAGATTCTTACCCAACGGACGGGCACTTTGGCCGCGTCAGTCCACTCACTACAGCCCACTTCTTCCTGTGTCGTTTCCGCCCTCGCATCGCGTGGCTTGTTAGGGATAATTTGATATCTAATCTGAACACCTGGCTAGATTCTTAATTCTAAAGAAGGTGTAATAGTCATGAATCTCTTCTTCCTACTAAATGCATGAGATGACAAACTCATCCGTAAAAGACATTCACTCTTTTTTGACGTGATCCGCTTCAACTCACCACCAAGTCACCCGGGACGTTTGCTCATCGACTACTGCAACCTCCCGCATCTCAACAAAAAAAAAAATCAAACGTCTCACAACAGCGTGTCACTTGCCTTCCTCCCGCCCTTCACTCACCGCTCAACCGCTCTCACACGCGCCTGTTACGCCTTGCGGTCTGCGCCTGCGCGTCTTGTCCCCCTCCCTTCCTCCATCATGACAGTCGCACAGGGTTACCACAACCTCATCCCCGTGACGAACCTCTCGCCACCCGTCGACACGACGCAGCCCTACGACGCCTCCACCCTCGCCGGCAAGACCGTGCTCATCACCGGCGGCGCCCTCGGTCTCGGCGCGGCGTTTGCGAGGGAGTGGGCCTCGCACGGGGCGAATGTCATCGTCGGTGATATTAACCCGTCCGCGGGCGAGGCTTTAGTGGCCGAACTCCGCGCCGAGTATCCAAAGCGGGGAGGAGGAGGAGGAGCAGGAGCAGGGGAAGGAGAAGGGGGTAAAGGAGGATCGCACCACTTTGTCACCTGCGACGTCACGTCCTGGGAATCGCAGGTATCCTTCTTCAAAGAGGGCGCGCGCCTCTCGCCGAACGGCGCCATCGACGTCGTGGTGGCCAACGCGGGCGTCAACGAGCCCGGTGCGAATGGGCGCTTTGAGATGCCCCTGGCCTCGAGGTCGGACCCGGACGCGCCGCGGGAGCCGTCGACGAAGATTATTGACGTTAATATCACGGGGTTGTCGTACACGACGCACCTCGCCCTCTTCTGGCTGCCGCGGAACGGGAGCAGTACCGGTGCCGGTGCCGGTGGCTCGCCCCGCGACAGGTGTCTGCTGTTGGTGGGCTCCGTTGCGGGTGTGGGGCATTTCCCGGGCCAGGCGCCGTACACCATGTCTAAGCACGCCGTTACGGGTCTTTTCCGGGCGATGCGCGGGACGGCGTATTTGCGGCAACGGGTGCGGATGAATATGGTGTGTCCGTACTTTGTGAGCGGGAGCCAGATGTTCCCCGGTGCGGCGGAGGCGGCGTTGCTTGGTGGCGGGGCGGGCGGGGCGCAGGGGAGGGATGTTGTCGATGCCGCGACGAGGCTTGTTGCTGATGAGGGGGTTGTGGGACGGGCTTTGCTTGTTGGGCCGGAGGTTGATGCTTTGGGGTTGATCGAGGAGGATGAGGAGGGAGAGACGATGGTGGTTGGTAGGAAGGGGGGAAAGGTTGCGGTGTGGGATGTGTATGCGGAGGATTATAAGGATTGCGAGGCCTTCGTGTGGAGGTGGATTCGGGTGTTGAATACGGTTGAGTATGTTCGGGGGTGGACTGGGTGGATTGGGGATGTGTTTTCGATTCTGACGAGGCCGGTTCGAGGGGTGAGGTGAGCGGCTATTCTGCACGATGACTATGTGCGTAGTTTACAGGGAGGGCCAAGGATAGATCAGCTCAATAGAATCAGTTCAAGTGGCTGAGAGGAAGAGATTCACGCTAGGCGAAGATGTAAGCCCAGGACTCGTTTAATATCATCTGAGATACGAAGACGTTGGCGACACTTCTTCGTAGATGAATGCGACCATGCCTGCTTGGAGAGCCTCCCTTGAACAATGGTAGCCATGTGAGATATGAAGATGAAGAAGGCTAGCATATACGAGGCTTCATGTTACGAGATGGTTCTTGTAGGTTGGCAGTCAAAGCAGAGATACCATTGCCAAGCAGTAGTCGACCTGGAAGCAAACTTATGTTTGCCATGAACATATTTGGAAAAAGAGTGTCCATTTCGAAAAGGGGGTCTCTATATCTCTCAAACTAGATATTCGCATCGATACTGCGTCTATCATCCTCTAGGATATCCACAGTGCCCAGTGACTGACCACTCTCCAATGATTTCAACATGGTGATGAAATTCGAAATGACGAGTCAAACCTCGACGTCCTTGTCCATCTTGTTATAAGTAGAAGGAAGGTGTGCGATTCCACTGAATGGAATAGATTGGTGTCCAATAACCTGGCTCAAGACATCAGCTTCAAAAATGCCATTCTCAATCACAAGTTTACCCTTGGCGTTATTGCCTGCCTTGCTCCAAGCCCAAGGGGGTCGTTACCGCTGCCCTAAACGGCATAACCAACATGTCCCTCCTGCCCATCTCCTGAACTGCTATACAAGTATTCAACGCCAAGTCAGCCTACTTTCGTCCTTGCCAATCTTGTCATGGAAGGAGTGTGCTCCTTGTCCAATCTCCAAGCCGTTGTTTCCGAGTGAGCTGCTGTGAGGTGTCTATGTGTGTGCATGTGCTCTTAGTCTTCTCATGTGGGTTTGAAATACAAGGTCTAAACGCCCGTTCGCAGCATCTCGCTTTGTTGGCTTCGTGATATTCGTTGTAAGCGTGAGACGAATACGGACGGGATCACGGGCAGTGAACGAACGCTAAGCCTTTGTTTTCTTAGTGGAGAGCTTTGTCCCTCGATCCTCCTAACTTGATATTATCTATATGCAGACACGTAATGCTGTGGAGAACAGACTTTGCTATAAGCTGGGTGCGTTATGACATCCCATATCTAATAGACGAGGTTAACACTTACTATACCCGAACATGGTGGTAACATATCAGCTCAGTGCCTCTTCTAAGGGGCAGGGAGCCTGATGTCCAGCCGTCAGACATTACTCATCTGTGTTTTGCTACTCGGGACATAAGGGAGGCCATTCTATTGCTATACATAGACCAAAGAAGCGAGTTTCTAAAGAGGAGCTACGATACCAACAGTCTAATTATCCTCCCCGTTATCTATTCTTCTATTGTTCTTCTCGTTATCCATAGTTCTACTTCTCAAAGTCCTATTGTTCTCTACGTTACCTATAGTCTAATTACTCTCCCCGTTATCTAAAGTCCTATTTTCTCCCTATTTCCTATAGTCCTTTCACTAGCCTTGTTATCTACAGTCCTATCGTTCGCCATTATGCACAGCTTTGTTAGTAGTATGAGACGAATACGGGCGGGGTCACGGGAAATGAACGAACAACGAGCCTTTATCTCTCTGGCCGAGAGTCGTCTCTCTTTCCTTTCTTTACTCCGACCACTAACATAGGTTGGGCGCGCCGTCCTTGGCTCATCATCAACAACATCAGAGCCTAAACATCAGAGCCTACTGCCCTTGTTATGTGGGCAGCACTGGTCGCTTGCCTTTAATCGCGGTCGTGGCACGCTTTTTATACTCCGCAATAAGCAGACAGCAGCTATCTTGTTGTTGTTTCGATCTCGAGACGTAGCCGACAATGGACATGTCAATGAGGAAAAAGGAGTAAGATGATGCCGGAATGTCAGAAAATAAGAGGGATGATATTCTTCTACCAGATTGAAACACATGATGCCGAATTCATCCACGCCACTAATGCGGATTATGTGATGAAGCCGAAACATCGCCCGCCAAATAATAAGAAGAGACCTAAATCTAAACGCCATTCAAGAGCAATAGGTTCGCTGCCGCTGCTCAAAATGACCCGGATGACATAAAGCGCCAAATGCTGCAGACCAAACCAATCTCACCCGCTACCACTAGGAGAAGGGCCAAGGTTCATGGCCCCTTGAAACGAAGGATCGAGGCTCATCGTCGGATCTTGTGCCTGGCCCAGATCAAACCCGGGCGTAGCAGCACCAGCCATACCATCAGGCCAGTTCATAGTCATCGTCGCCCACAGGTCATGATAGACAGGCTGCCCGTTCACCATCGCAGGCGTCCCATTCGTCGCGGGAGAGACCAACCCATGCGTCCCGTCCCTACTCAGATCCTGATCCCAAATCGGGAAGTACTGATCCAGACTCCCATCAAACATCGGACACCCGCGGATCGTTCGCGGCAGCTTATTCACCGGGGTCTCGATATTCGCGACGCGAGCCTCGTACTTGCGCTTGACGACGGCAAAGACAACCTTCCCCGCAGACAGGACGTCCATGGTGCTCTTGGTCGCGGGCGTCAGCGTCGGCGCCTCGCTGTTGGCGCACAGGCGGGCGAGGTACGAGTCGAACTGCAGCTGCTCGCGGGCGCGGGCATGGTCCCACTCCGGGCAGAGCGGCATGGGGAAGGAGAGGCGGATGGCGAGGATGACGGCCTGGATGAAGCGGCCCCAGTCGATGGAGCTGAGCTCGACGAAGGCGGCGGCGGGGAGGTTGGTCATGAAGTCGAGGAGGGTGCGGAGGAGGGTGAGGCACTTGTCGAGGCGGTGGGCTGGGATCGGGGGGCCGAGGTCGCTGTCGCCTATTTTTGCTGTTGAGCGGAGGGTGTAGACTGGGCCGGCGAGGAGGAACATTTCGGTGAATAGGTTGGCTAGTGTGAGGGAGTCTGGGGCCGGGTTGAGTTAGTATGAGGAGGAGTGTGTGTTTGTCGGATGGGTGGGAGAATGGAGACTGACTGATGTCGCCGAGGCTGCTTGGTATCCTGCCTTGCCACTCCCTCAGCTGGCTCTCGAGCCCGAGAAACATGAAGTGAACCTGCTGCTTCGCCTGATCTCCCTGCGGTATACTCTTTGCGATGGCAGCCGATTCCTCGGTGATGTGAACCAGCCTAGCCAGCCACGCGAGCGTGTGATCGCCCTTGAGCGCAGAATTGTGCTCGAGAAGATCGCAGCAGGTGGCCGTCCACGATGTGTAGTCGAGGGCCAGGATCGCCATCTTGGCCCAGGCCATTGCGAATCTAGCATCGGTCAGAGTCGTGCGGCGGAAATACTGCAGGAAGGGCAGTACGTGCGCTGACACCAGGTAGTAGCAGGACACGTAGGCACGAATGCCGTCCATTTGATCTGGCGCAGAGGACGATGACGAGGCCGTCCCGCCGCCGCCGGCAGGTGAGCCTGCGCCTTGGCTAGGTGGATGGTTCAGCTCGAGATCGTGGAGGATCTCGGCTGCCATGCGGACGTATTGGAAGGCTTGTTTGTTCTTTGGCCGGAGGTGGAACGGGTACCTGAATTGTGTAAGGGGGTGTTTGCCTCAAAGAGGGATCAGTCAGTTATGGAAAGCTCACCATGCCGTATAGATGAGCAACCCTTGGAGGAGCTCTAGCGTCCGCTCACCACCAGCCACAAACTTGAGACCCAGAATCTTGCGGAACTCTTCGTCGTAGAGAGTGTGGCCCTGCAATGCACTGGTAGCAGACGCCGTCGAGAGGATGGCGAGAAGCATGAACGGTTTCGTCTTTGAAAGTGAAGTGACTGTGGCATCGGGCGGGAGTGCCACACAGGGGAAATGCTTGAGCATGACGCGGAAAGTTGATAGCAGCTTTTCTGCTGAGTCTAGGTTGAACTGCGGTTTGAGACCGAAGCTCGAGACCGAGACGGACGGGCCCGAGGATGGTGGGGACGAGATGGACGAGTGGGGACCGCTACCGGAGCCGGCGTCGAGGCCGAACATCATGTCGATGGATTCTAGGTCGGACTCTGGTGGTAGAAACTCGTCCACGTACTTGTCGTGGCGGGCGGCGAGGCTTTCGAGGTCGTCTGGCTCTTCCACTTGGGGCATTTCAAAGTCGATGCTGAACGTCTTTGAGGGCCCCGGTGGGGGAGGTGGTCTGGGTGCGTCTTGGTTTCTGTAGCATGTGAGTATGGTTGGCGAGGCGGTAAACTCATCTGAAGCTGAGAAATCGCACAATAGCAGGCAATGGATACAAAGAGAGTGACGAGAGCTTACTGCTTAGATTGCCGTGGACGACGAGTCCTTGGACCGGTGCGGAAGATACATTCTCTCTTGAAGTCGAGACATCTGGATTGTTCGGGCGGTTGGTGAGCATACGGATGAATCGACTTATACGCCGGGGCAGCTCGGGGGAGTACTGCCCGGGACTAAGGTTGCCACACACAACAAACCTTCGACATATTCCCAGCTGCACGCTGGTTTGGCACTTGACCTTGGCCGCCCTGCACGCTTCACAGGCATTGGTCACTCTCTGCCGCGGGTTGGCGCCGGCGTCAGGATCGGTACCGGGCTCCATGATGTGTTGGCGACACGGAGTGACGGATCGGGGTGTATGGGGGGTGCTCGGGTATTCGGCCCGGAACGAGTGAAGTGACTAAATAGGCAAACAAGTGCCGAAGATGTTTGCAGAGAAGCTTGGCGGGGAGTGAGAGAGATGAAGAGAAAGCGACTGATGCCTTCCCGTATCTGGACGAGCTGGGAGAGTAAAGTTTAGATCCACTGCCTGCGAAGCTACACCGAGCAAAGGGAATGATGGTGGAGCTGAGATGAATGAGAGCGTTGTCTGAGCAGCTCAGAGCTCAGCTTGCGCCTTGGACGTCTAGCAGGTGAGCGAATGGGGGTAGGAAGTGAGTTGTGTGTAATTCCACAAGAACCATAACATCCGGCACATTGGGAAGTTCGCGGGGCAGAGAGACATGGGTTGAGGAAAAGAGCGGCGAATGAGTCGAACGAGTCCTCCGGCGACGTTCGGATGTTGTTGATTGGCCGGTGCCTTGGGGTAGTTGCATGCGTCAGGCTTAGGCGGCTCCGCTCTTAGGGCGGATTCCAGGGGTCTTTTGGAGTCTTTACCGAACCTAACCAGCTCTAGGTGCTTGAATGGTGGTGGCTGTGGCTTTGGCCTTGGTGCTGACGATAAGTTCCGAACCACTTCGGAGTCTTGGAGTGGCAGTGTGTCTTTCTGAAACGTCACCATGAGCCTCGTTAAACCACACTCTCATACACTCATCCGAGTTGGGGATTTTAGTGGAATCAGTTATTGTTATTTGAATGTGATGGAATTGAAGTGAGCTGACCTCACGGACAAGATTCGCCTCGTCAACTGTCGTGCTGTCTATTGAGAGCTTTCAAAGGAGACATGCCTTAGCGCTGTAAATCCTTGATATCAGGGTTGTTCCCCTTGAAGACGCGATCAAACGCGTCGTCAAGGCGCCACACGAATTTGGAGATATCGTTGACGTGATACTTGGTCTTCTCATCATTGTCGTAGACCAAGTGCTCCCCCTGAGTGCCAAGGTCGATACCGAGTCCCTTCCAATTCGGGATGTGAACTCCCTCTCGATGGGCTTGGAAATCCGAGCTGGCGCAGCGAGAAGAACAGTACACTATACTCTGTCCAAGCTGTTCCGCGCATTCTTCGCAGATCACAGGCCCCTCGCCACTACCGCCCATCTCCTCGTCCTCCTCCTTGAGCTGGATACATCCCTTCCCTGCCGCACAGCCGTGCGCCGTGTTCACGTGCTCATCCTGTAGCATCTGTTAGCCTACCAACGTAGTCGCTGCAGTGATGGAGAATGGCTTACATATGCCTCGTCGTAACACTTCTCCGAGTCGAAGACTGTCCTCTTAGTGAGGCTCAGCTCGGCAAAGATCAAACACAAAGGGCACGCGATGACCTCCGATGACACCTTGCCGGAGCAAGCGAGGCATGGCGGGAGATCGTACAGTTCCTTGTTGACTTGCGGTCCCTGAGGCGGGGGCTGCTGCCGCTTCTGAGCTTTCAGGAGCTTATCCTGCTCATGTGCCGCTTGCGCCCTCTTAAGCTCGTTCAGTGTCCGCTTGTGCCGGTCCATATTCCCAGCAGCGTTGGACCTTGCCGACTTGTCGGCCTGCATGGCCCCCATCACTTCGTCAATGGACGATCCGGACCGCAGCTTCTCAACGTACTTGCTGCATGATGCTGGGATCTCACCCGAGCTCGGGTCGCGGAAGAAGACGTCAATGAGGACATCAGTCGCCTTCTCTGGCGGAAGGTCGTCGAATTTCGGTGCCAATTCCTCCAAACCCGGAGAATTGTTGCCCCCTTTGCCGACGACTTTTCGGACATCCTCAATGAGAACAGTGGTGGGTTTTTGCTCGTCCTCCAATGCAGCCTGGAATTCCTCCTTGCCAATCGACGCCTCGGCGATCTGCCCTGCGACCGATTTAGGTAGAGTCTCGCGGTAGTGCCTTTGCTTCTCCTTATCGATCCGAGCCTCGATAGACTTGAGGTCTTCTGTAAAGTCTTTCAGCTTGGCGAATAAGCCGTCGAGATCACTCAGAAAGGCCTTGTTGTCGGAGAACCACTCATCCTTGGAATCGGCATATCTACTTCTCATCGTCTCCACAACCTCCCCGTAACAGTCTTTGCAGTGCGCAACGTGGGCCTTGCTGTGCCCCTCCGCGCACTTGGCCTTCAACTTTTCGATGGATTCGGCCTCATTTCCCTGCTGTTTTCGCTTGGTCTGCAAGACCCTCTGCTGGATCTGGCTCTTGCTCATCTTGGCTTTGTTCCTGTGGTTGTCGTAGGCAACGAAAGATGTTGGCGGAGAGAAGAGTATCTGAGGATTTCGTCCTCTCAAGAGTGATGCTTCAATGAGAGTAGGAGATAATACTAATGAGATGCAATATCCTCCGTTTGATGAAGTCCCTTTGTTTATGTTGAGATGTAAGGTAGTTGAAGGAGACTGAGAAGTCCGTGGTTGAGTTGGAAAGGAGTGGGTCTTCAAGGTGAAGGCAGCTCAAGCGCGCACGTCCCTTCCAGCCAGCTTCATTCGGTGAGCGTCTGCCGAGCTTCAGCCGGCGCATCCATGGAAGACAGTCCAGTGCGTTGAGGCTTTGCAATCTTGTAAACACCATCCACCTTCTTCTTCAGCAACACAAGACAACATGGTATGTTGACATTCCCGTTGAAACTCGAGAACCATCTAACAGGATCCATGTATAGGCCGACAAACTCCGCAACCAGCAAGAACTCGAGCGCCTCCAGGCCAAGTACGTTGGCACCGGACACCCCGATACGACAAGTTGGGAGTGGAAGACCAATATCTACCGCGACACCTACTCATCCATCGCCGGCCACCCCCCTATGCTGTCGTACATGGCGTTGGCTGAGAATGAGCCCACACAGCTTCTGCGCGCGAGGTTAATCAGGGTATGTTGAAGCCCAACTCTGGATGGTTGAAAACGCGCGTGCTGACTGCTCACAGAAAATGATGCAACCTGCTGGTCCACCACCACAACGCGAAGATTAACGACCAGCGACGACTGTAGGGGCATGGTTGTTGAAGACAGATACATGGATTACAAGGGCACTGGCGTTGGGGATAATGTGTTTAGGAATTAGTAATTGAGGGCTAGACACCCTCAGAAATCCATTTGCCAATTTTGGCTGCTCATGAACGCATACGCTCGGAATGCTTGCTGCTACTTGGGTATCCCGTTCCACCGAAATCTGCCTCACTAATCGTATACCTCCTCAGTGTCTCGCACGCCGCTACACTACCTCAATGCGAGGGCCCAGCTTCGGCCTGTGACATATCCACATCGCCATCGCCATCCTCAGCCGGGCGAATCCCAAAACTCGCCCCAATCTTCTTCTCCAGTTCCGCATCAGCCTGATCGGCCCAGACAGAACGCACCATGCCCGCCGCCCCCTCGGCACCAATCTCTTCGAGCCCACGCGGGCCAATGAGCCACGTAATGTCCTCGCTGCCGTCCTGCGCCTGCGTCCCCGCGTTCTTCTGCACCTTGCGCACGACGTAGCCCTGCGTCTGCATGCGCTTCAGCACGTCCTCCGTCTTCTCCACCGCCACGTTCGCCTCGGCGTTGAGGCGGTTCAGGTACCGCCGTAGCTTCTGCTCCGACAGCTCGCCGCCGCTGAGGAAGATGATGGTCACGATCATAGTGTAGAAGCCCACGTACGATGCTTCGGCGTCGGTGCTCGGTGCTTTCGAGGGGGCGAGGATGGTCGGGGAGCGGTATTGGGAGGGGAGGGTCGAGGATAGGACGTAGACGCCTGAGCTGGTTTTTGCTTGGGAGCCGGACTTTAATGCTGCGCGGTGTTAGCGGGGGATGCCAGGTGACGTCGTGCCGTAGGTGACACTTGCCTTGTCGCTTCTCCGCCATTGTGAACTTTTCCCTCACTGCGAGTTCTCGTAGCTCCATGCCCCAGACGAGGCGGAGCTGTTGTTGCGCTAGGTCGAATACTTTCCTAAAGGCTCTACCCTGGTCTCCAAGCACTGAAGCGACCGTCAGTAATGTTCACAGTGCTACAAGCCCATCGTATCTCCGTACCTCTCTCCTTGATACCATCTCGACGGATAGGTGTCCGAGAAAACTCGCAGGCCAGCGCATATCGCACCAGTTTCTTGGCGAGCTGATCTTCCGCGCTCGCTTCCGCGTCCACAGCACCATGCTCGGAACCCTCTTCTTCTTCTGCGGACTCATCATTATTGCGCCTCTGTCTCGGGTGTCTGGGTTCCTCGTCTGAGTCTTCGTCATCGACCTGGGTGCTGTTAGTCTCTGGTGCGAGCCTTGAAGATTTAGCGCGGGGCATACTGGTCGTCTCCGTCTTTGTGAGGGAGGCATGGTGGTTCTGTATGAAGGGAAGAATTGTGCTTCAATGCTGGAGTTTTGACTTCAAAGATCGGAATTTTGCGATTGACATGCAGTCAAAACTCAAAGCGCAGGCTGTTCGACTGTACTGGTAGCTAAAGTTCGGTGAACTTGCAGTCCGACGCGACGGGACGCGCTCTTCGCGGTGCCACTTTAGGCCCTTCACATCTGCAGGTTCGCGCAGCGTTATCTTATCTCTTATCTTATCGCACCCAGCTCCCGTCGCAAAAATTTGGGAGCTCTGGTCTGAGTGACATGGTTGTATGTTCGCAAAGGCATGTGAATGCTCATACAGCGTTATTCTGCGTTTCTTTCTTTCAAATGATTTCGCGAGCAGTGTTTGCTCGTGGTGTATGCCTGCGATGCCAATTACGAATCCTCGACCGACCGAGAGCTCATAGCTCACTCCGAATCGCCCCTTTTCGAACCCATCTCCTCGAGCGACGGACGTATAGTTCCGAATCAGCATGGGAACGCCTTACCAGAATTTCAGAAGGGAGGGATGAAGAACCGCCAAGCAGCCAGGTGCCCGAGAAGGAAGTCTCGTCTACGAAAGAACAGCCTTGTCAGGCGTCGCCTAAAACAGTAGAAGGAGATGGCGCATCGATCGAAACCAAGCCGGAAGCTCCCACCTTGTCCCGTGGGCCAACGAAGCGAAGCAGCCCTCTCTTAACAAGATACTACATCGGCGAAGACCCCCAAGACCGCCCCTCAAGGCGCCGCGTTGGCAATCGTAGTGTGTACCTGCAGTCTGAGGCACTGGACGTTGATATGCTTGGAGAAAAGGCACAAGCGATCGTCATGCGCGACATGAGACGCAGCCACCGGGACATCAAGCAATTGCCCGTTGAAGAGCTCATTCCCGAGGCGTTCGACATCAGCCAAAGCCTAGCATCTGAAGATAAGGATCTGACGATGGAGGAGGCGCTATCAAACCTCGAAGAGCTCCGGCCCTCCGACCCCATTGTCTCGTACGATGACTTTTATACACTGCTGGATGTCCTCATCAATGGCTTCACAGTTGCCCAGCTCAGGGCATATGTAAGCCGTGCGAACGCGAGGGCTGCTGTCACGCCCAAGGAGAAGACGAAGCAGCTCTACGATTCTGTAGAAGTGTTGACGCCCTGGACCCCCGTGGCAAGCGTCGAAATCGACGGCTCAGCCAAGGAGAGACTGGGATTGACTCTCATGCTGGAGGCCTGGCGCTTGACCATGAGGGAGATTGTCGACGGCCAAGGCTATTTGAGTGGGCGGATTGATGAGCGGTTCTTTGCCCTGCTTACGAGTGAGTAATGCGACCCAGCTACAGCGGTGCTGTCTAACATGCAAATAGATCAAGAACAGCGACTGGATGCCATCAGGGAGACCTATCTTAGTCCAGGCGAAACGATTGACATCTCGGATTCGATATTAAAGATCAACGCCACCAAGGCCAAGACGCAGGCAATTCTTCAGAGGCTGGACGAAGCTTCCAAGGCCATCATCGTGAAGAACTTCAAAGCCGATTGGCTTGCTAATAGCGAGGTCGACGGCAAGTTACTCTGGAACTTGGGCCAGCTCACCAATACTTTCATCGACCGTAAAAAGCGTAAAGAGGTGCGTCTAACTCATTGTATTGCGGTTATGGCCACGACTAATAGCCGAGCAGATTGAGGTGTCGTGGATCAAACACGGAAACACTGAAGTTGCCTTCGGCGAACAGGTAGACCAAGATGAAACTGGTGAACAGCTGGGCCATATTGTTCAGCGTCTGCTACACTCTGCCCTCTTCCCGAGAGAACAGTCCATAACTCTGAAACATGAGTCCAATGTGAAGAAGGCAAGACTTGTTGCCGAGCCTCGCGGCAACGAGAAGCTTTCGTGGAAGGAGAGGCTTACACAGTGGTCTCGATGGGTGAAGCAAGCCGGCCGAGAAAATTCCACCGACAAGGCGTTCACCATCACGGAAGGCGACATTCTGCCTTTACCTCTGACCACCGAGGCCCCGGCTCTGGATTCAGATGCTGCTTGGAGCAAGCCGTACGTCTCGACAACCGCTTCTTTTGGCCAGATACTCCACAAGTACGACGAAGGAAGCTTCACAATCGCCAAGGCAGCCAAAACCCAGAACCACATCTTCTCACCTAGCTCTCCGCCTCCCGCAGGTCTCACACCCATCGTGGAGTCAGTCACCTCTGCGAACCCGGAAAGCCCCATCATAACCACCCTCCTCCTTTACTTCCGACCTCACCCCTCCATGGCCAAGGAAACAGCCCACGACCTTCCCGACCTCCTCGAACTCCACCTGACCGTTCCAGACGACCTACCCGAAGGCCCCCTGGCGTGGGACGCCACTCCCAAGCGCCTCGTCGCCACCCTCAGTCAGACCTTTACCGATGTCGCGTACCCCTCCGAACCCGTCGACCTGCGGCTCTCGCAGCCGTTGGTGTCAACCATGTCACCAGAGGCCCTCGATACGTCTGCTTTCCGCGAGTACATTGAGGCCGCGAAGCTGGACCTCCTCGAAGGACGCCTGCGCCCGCCGCCCGAGGTCGAGCTATCGGGTCTTCCCTCCACCAAGGACGACGGCAGCGTTTCCGGGCCCGTAAAGTACATGTTTGCCGGTCTCGAGATGCGTCGGACTCTTGAGGTGGGTTACGAGGGACACAAGATTCAGTTGGCGAGTATCGAGGCCGGTCTTCACGGCGGTCGCCGCTCTCAAATGAACTTTGAAGCTGTGCCACCGCCTGCCGATGCGAATCTGTCAAAATACGAACAGAAGGCCTACGCGACGAAGTACCTCGACATTGCAGAGGACTTTGTGAGAGGAGGTGTTGTGAAGTGGATCGGAGAGAGGGATCTTGCGAGAGAATTCAAGGAAGTTGAAGGCACGACGGCGGCGGCAGTCGAGGAGATTGAGGTCGCGGAGGCTGGGGAGGAGCAGACTGTTGGAGAGAGTGAGCTTGATGTTCCCGCGGAGCAGCTAGAAGCACCTGAGGGGACAGTGGCAGAGGAGGGGAAAGCTGAGACTCCTGTGGACGACAACGTCGAAGCGCCGGCCGACGAGGACGTTGAGAATGAGACTTCTGTGGACGGCGAGGCTGAGACGCCAAAGAAGGATGACTTGTAAAATCATGTACCAAATAATTGTAGATCAACTGTACCATCACTGATGTATCAAAGCCTTAATCACTTGATGCTGATATGACCGAAAAAGGGGCGGTTCACTGAGGACGTTGTGAGGGGAGTCTTTGATGAAGGTGAATGTGCGAATGCCTTCCTTTCTACGTATGAGCGCTTAGCTTTGGGAGGGAGAAGATCGCCTTGGAACTCTTCCGTCAGCCTAATTACTTACTATTACCCAGTCAAGGCATCACACGAGAGCGTTACGACTCAGATCAAATACAGACTATGTGCTGAAGCCTTCAATGCTATCATGAAACAGGCAAGGTCCATATTTTGGTCCACAGCCTCACGGGGGCACGTGTAGAGATAAAACGAAAGCCTCGGGACCGAACTGCCGTACTTGGGCTTAGTAGACTGTGGACAGCCTCACTAGCACTGCGACAGGATAAGGGTTTGCCAGGATCAATCAGGCGTACTTTAACAGCAGCATTAGACTCGTATCTGAGCAGCGACTAGTTGGGAGTGGAAATATTACATCACGAGGACATCATGTCACAGCATTTTGGAACGTTGTTTTTTAACTTGGGAATCACTTCTAGGACTCTATTTTTGTGCTACTAGGCACGTATCATGAGAAGCTTTTTTGACGTAGAATCATCCGGTCCAACCTTCCTCTCGATATTCGTGCTGTCCGCCATATCATAATGTCCTCATGCCACGCAAAGGGAATTCGTAAAGCCGTAGAAGTGAGTGAGCCACAGCGGTGAGGCCGTGGGCGAACTCAGCAACCAACCCTGGTGAGTTAGATCGCTTATTTCTTGCCAGCCTTGGCAGCGGACTTGGTGACCTGGTGATGAAGGTGTTAGTTGATGAAGAGACATTAAAGTGAGATGAGTTGGATGAACGTACCTTGCCAGCGTTGCCAGCGGACTTCTCGACGGACTTGATGACACCGACGGCGACGGTCTGGCGCATGTCACGGACGGCGAAACGTCCCAGAGGGGGGTAGTCGGTGAAGGCCTCAACGCACATGGGCTTGGAGGGAACCATCTTGACGATGGCGGCGTCACCAGACTTGATGAACTTGGGGTTGTTCTCAACAGACTTGCCGGTACGTCTGTCAATCTTCTCGAGGATCTCGGAGAACTTGCAGGCAATGTGGGCAGTGTGGCAGTCGAGAACCGGGGCGTATCCAGCACCGACCTGACCGGGGTGGTTAAGGACGATGACCTGGGCGTTGAAGGAAGCGGCACCCATGGGGGGGTCGTTCTTGGAGTCACCGGCGACGTTGCCACGGCGGATATCCTTGACGGAGACGTTCTTCACGTTGAAACCAACGTTGTCACCGGGGAGACCCTCAGTAAGCTGCTCGTGGTGCATCTCGACGGACTTGACTTCAGTGGTGACGTTGGCAGGGGCGAAGGTGACGACCATGCCGGGCTTGAGGACACCAGTCTCGATACGGCCGACGGGCACTGTTCCAATACCACCGATCTTGTAGACATCCTGGAGGGGAAGACGGAGGGGCTTGTCGGTGGGACGCTTGGGGGTGTCGATGGCGTCAATGGCCTCGAGAAGGGTCTTGCCGGTGGACTTGCCAGCCTTGGTCTCCTTCTCCCAGCCCTTGTACCAGGGAGCGTTGGTGGTGGGGGCAAGCATGTTGTCGCCGTGGAAGCCGGAGATGGGGACGAAGGCAACGGTCTTGGGGTTGTAGCCGACCTTCTTGATGAAACCGGAGGTCTCCTTGATGATCTCCTCGTAACGGGCCTCGGACCACTTGGTGGTGTCCATCTTGTTGATGGCGACGATGAGCTGCTTGACACCGAGGGTGTAGGCGAGCAGAGCGTGCTCACGGGTCTGGCCATCCTTGGAGATACCAGCCTCGAACTCACCAACACCGGCAGCGATAATGAGAATAGCGCAGTCGGCCTGGGAGGTACCGGTAATCATGTTCTTGATGAAGTCACGGTGACCGGGAGCGTCTGTGGTAAATCGGTCAGCAAAAATTCGAAAAAATTGTTTTTGATCGCTCTTTTTCCCCCAGTGAAAGCACGAAGCAGGAGCAGCTCTGAAGCTTTCCGGAAGGTGAAAGTAGTGAGATTACGTACCAATAACGGTGACATAGTACTTGGGAGTCTCGAACTTCCAGAGGGCAATGTCGATGGTGATACCACGCTCACGCTCGGCCTTGAGCTTGTCAAGAACCCACGCGTACTTGAAAGAGCCCTTACCCAACTCAGCGGCTGCGTTCAAATTAGTTACTAGTTCAGCGTGATAGAGTGGTGATGGAAGTATGCTTACCCTCCTTCTCGAACTTCTCGATGGTACGCTTGTCGATACCACCGCACTGGTAGATCAAGTGACCAGTGGTGGTCGACTTGCCGGAATCGACGTGGCCGATAACGACGACGTTGATGTGGTTCTTCTCTTCCTTACCCATTTTGGCGGTGGGATGTGATCGAGTTGTGTGTTTGAAAGGTAAAAGCTGGGTGAGGTTGACAAGTCAGTGATGAGATTCCGATGAGCAAGAGCCAAGTGTGGTAAAATAAATACTTACTGCACAGGTGATCCGTAAATTTGGATTCGGTATGTACGACGAAGAGCAGAAGAAGGAGGGAAAAGCTTTGCTTTGGTGGGCGAGCGAGGCTTTTGTATGTTTGTGAGTGGAAAAGTTGGGTGGTGGAGTGGGAGTGTGAGAGGGTCGAAGTGGGTTGAGTAGAGGTGGGAGGGGGAGTGGGCTAGTCCGCCAAAGTCTGCAGGGATGGAAAGGCAGGAAGGTGGGGTCAAAGGCTCTTGCCTGAACGAATTGCCCTAAGGTAGAATTTTTCACTCACAGGCTCAGTTTTTTTGTGGTTGGTTGGGTGGTTGTTGTTTATTCCAGGTGTAGATGGCTTCTTAGCAGATCGTGGCTCACGGACAAGTAGCGCATTGTACCTTGGTTCAGTCTCGCCACGGCACGAACTAAGCGGGGCCGCTCCAGGCAGGTACGTATCGTATCACCCCTCCTTTAGCCTCTCCTTCCTGCGCCTAAGGCATGCGACGGGCGGTAAAGCTCATCGTCGCTATCCATGATTATACCGTTCCAGCTGCCTAGACGATTTCTGTTGCTCATTCCTATCAACGAAATCACTATTACCGACTTTGATTCATTGTCTCAAGACTTCACAAGAGCATATTCTACGTTGATTCAGCTCTTGTTGCGGCAGCAGGAGTTGAGGCAACAGGATGGATGGCATGTTGATGTCACAGGTAAGGGGGCATGGAGGGGCACTCTGCAGCTCTCACCGCGCTCTCTGTGTCGCGGGGGGCGCTGCAAACGATCCTGGCCTGTCGACCCCACCGTGGAAGCTCCAGGCCTCACTGCTGCAGATCCCAGTGATGTCAATTCGTCGAATCGCCAGCCCAGCTAAAGTAATGAACAATAACAAACGCATTCATCACGATCAAATTTTCCCTCGGGCACTAGCTAGCCGCCTTCTTTTTGGGAAGGCAAGGAGGGGCAATATGGACCTGCCTGAGTCTTTCCCCTCGTTGTCGGGCCACTTCATCTTTTTTTTCATCGTCGGAGTCCACCTTGAGGCAGACCATCGGCCGCGTCTCAAGTGAGAGGTGCCTCTCTCTTTTCGTCCCATCCACACGCATACCTCACCGGCCAGACACAGACAGACACACAGCGCCGTTTGGCACACACACAAAAATTTTCATCAGAGGGAGCGCTTTGTTCCGAGTGACCTCGATCTACTTTGCCAACGATAAGACATCCACAGCTTCGAACTCTGCGGTCTGCCCCTCCACCCCGCCCAATCCCTGTCAGACACACAAGGTAGGTTGCCGCGCAGCCCAACCTGGGCCCCTCCTTGCCCCTCGACGAAGCCCAGGTTTTTTTTTTTCTCTCTCTTGGACCGTCAGACCGTCAGAGTGTGTGCCCAACCCATTCGTTCGGCATGAGTCACGTATCTGGCAGTTTTCCCTCTGGAGACTGGCACAGCTACAGCCTTCTCCTGCATACCTTTTTGGTGACACAGGTGCTTGGGGCCCCTCCTCGTAGCATTTTGGTTTGGGGCCGTGGTCGCCGTCGCCGTCGCCATGGTCCATCCCACCTCAAGACCAAGGCTCCTCCGTGAGGCTAGTCCTTGTTTGCCTTTGGTTTCCGTAGGAATTATCGACCATCGAGGGGCATTGGAAATCCTCCTTGTGTTGCTTATTCTTTCATCGGTCAAGGGGATGCCAACCCAAGCGGGTCCATATTATCGTCCTCTCTCTCACAAACTGTCGGTGCATTAACTCCGAAAAGAATTGTGGCTGATGCGGCTTTCTGACGGGGTGCGGGGTTGGAAAAAATCTGATCTCAGAAAGAGAAGAGGCAAAAAAAAAAAAGTGTCCAGACATGGGTGTCCGACAGATCCTGGCCTCCAGGGTGACGTGCAGGTGAAAGGTACCTAAAGTCCTAAACAACCCGTTCTAAGCGCCTGCGCCGCCCGTCAAGGGACAATTATCCTCATCCTCTCGCGTTCTCCCAGAGCGAGATTTCCCAGACGGCTAGGTAGTATCGCGGCTGCATGCATATTTGCCATCGCGTTGGCATCTCTCTCCCGAAATAAAGTGAGAATCTATCGGGCGTCCGGCCAGATTTCGCAGCAGCAGCAGCATAAACGGACAACGCGGTGCAGTGACACGTAGGAGGGGGCCACGGAGAGGGGCGCCAGGACCAAACAAGACCAAGACGAGTGCGACCGCCCGCCCCAGCCCATGCGCAAGACCCCTCCCTCACACGAAGCGCCGCCGAGCCACAAAGAGAAAAAAAAAAAAAACGAGAGCAGAATGAGGGGTATTCCATGCCATGCCCCTCCATGTTTTTTTTGCGCTTGCGATAAGAGGGGCTCAACTCCGAGACAGAAAAAAATCTAGTGTCACGTGATGAATCTCTTCCATCCTTCATGAATGTTGTTTAAACCAGCCCATATCCCATGCCAGGTTGGCTAGGTTGATGAGCATTGCTGTTACGGCGACCGCTGGCCATTTTTCAAAATTTCCTAATTGGGAACAGAAACGACGGCGGTGGCGACGGGCGGCGTCGGAAACCGCCGGCCCCACCAGGCCGGAGAGCAAGTCACATGACCGCCCTCAACGTCATCCGACGAAGACCCGCGGGGCAGGCGACGACACTTCGCCAGCGAGTCGCAAGGTATCTCGCGGGTTTGAAAATCGCTCTAATACGAAGATCACTTCTATCCCACTTCCATTGGACTAACATGACAGGAATTGACTTGGCAAGTTTGGGACGAATCGAGGAACAACGATTTCGAAGCAGTCTGTCCCAAGCGATACTATTAAGCTCTGATCCTATCGATAACTCCCTACAGAGCTTTGCTGGACATCGAAGATCTTTCCTATAGCCGACTTTCTTCGGTTCTCCGAATACGACGTTCTGCCTCTGCCACTCGTATGTCTACTCCATCGAGGGCAAGCTGAAAAACGAACGTGCCACGTCGACCGATCTCGAGACCTCACGAGATGATACATAACAATATCACGTGGTTTGCATTCTTGGGGTGTTCAGATCCGCGAGTGGCTGTACCGGCTGTACCTTCTGCTTTTATTGCGAGAAAGCTTTCCAGGCATGAAGTCATGTCGGAACCATAAAGAGTTGGTATACCATTCGAGGACATCTACCCCTTACTTTCACGCGCAAATGCTGCCGTGGGCTATACTTCAATGCTCTCCCGTTTCCGCCACGCTTGCGTAGCAGGACTAGCCTGGGATGAGCTCAAATTATTGGAAGACATAAGGGGAGAGATTTGGCGTCGGAAGATCAGGGGATGGAGTGTAGATGCAAGAGATGGAGTTTTCCAGTTCATAGGATTGCAGATGAAAGACGAAAGGACGTGTTACATTTTTTGGACTTTATCTCCCCCCTCAGCACAGCCAACCGAAATACTTATGAGAGCTCCCAACCAGACTTTTGCCCCTACCTAGAGTCTCTCGCACAGCTCCTGTCTGACCCGTTCACCATCTTGTCAGGACAGGGACTCATGCGGGTTAGCAAGTAACCGCTTCCTCCGCCTACTACCATACTTCAGAAGCTAGACAAAACCGTGAGGACTTCAGCAAAACTAACAGCTTCTTCAGGAATCAAACCGAATTCTCCAGCGGGTTCCAGTCTCCAGTGATTACGTACAACGCATTCAGGCGTGCTGAAAGTAGCCATTGGAGATTAATCAGTCGGCAGAACTGCTCTGACGTATGACAGGCAGAGCACTTGTTTACGGATTCTACCTGAGGTCCAATCCATGAGCATAACTACACCGTTGTTATTTTTTTGCGCTAAGTACTCGTGTCCAGTCGAATCGGTACCAGCTGCCTAAGGTCTTGGCATCGAGCACTATCAATCGATTGTATCGTGCTATCCAGGCTAATCAGACTGTTCTATAAGTACATGGTAATACACCTCATCAAAGCTTCATCTGAAAGAAACTTCCCCGTCTGCAATTTGAACCTGCTAACGGAAGAAGCAGTCTGAGATGACGGCTCTAGGCTCTCTCAAGCCGTACTTGAACCATTGGCGGATGCTTCAAGGGTCTTGTACATTGTTATCGGCTCGCTAGTCCAGTCTGCATAGCCATGAACGACTAGTGGAGCTCAGTCTACCTTGAAATGTAACATCGTGAACCATCTTCTTGTGGATAATACAATGTTGACGTTTGACAAAGTCGTCACACCCAACAGAGTCGTTCAAGGGAAGTGCTTTGGAAAGAATGCTTCGATGGCTGCTGCCTCTGGTGTTCTAGCAGAAGCAAGAGGCAGGAGGTGGACGCAGATACTTCGTTGTTCCTGACTAGTGACATATCAAGAGTACTGGTAGGAAAGCGCCTCTTTGCTTAACGTCACTTCCAGTGCTGAACTTGAATCTCTCTGGAAAGAACTGCAGCGCATCCAATCCCCAGTAGATCCATATCCACGAAACAACAACACATCCAACGACGGCACGTATTCTACCTGTAAACAACATTATCTCTGCCTACCCGCATCTTCCAATTCCCAAACGGCTTTACATTTAGGCTGATTGCATACGATCACGCGATACTGGAGGCTTTTCAACAATTCTCCCCGGAACGCACCAAGCAATACTTTGTCTCACACGACCATGGGGTTCCCCTGGGGTATCGTTGTGGTCCTGAAGCGCGACTGGACTCCCGTCAGTCGGATTCGCAAAAGGTACGACTTTGACGGCTCAGGTCGCCTATTCTTTCCAGAACTCATCGTTATGCGCAAAGACACCATTGCCTGGCTTCCAAAACAAGAACCCTTCCGGAAACCCGGCGACTATCGCGAATGGGTCTGCATCGCACTCTATTACCCGTCTCTACCGGTTCTCTTGGATGCAAATGGAAGCGGGAGTATTCACTGGGACTCATTGGAGGACTACGAACACCCGTATGATGAGCGCCTAGTAGAAATTCCGGTCTCTTATCTCAGCGCTGAAGTCTTTATTCTTCGAGATTTTGTGCCTAGAGTGCCCGAATACGATGCTCTAGCTGCCCGATATCCTCCTGGAGAAGTAGGAATCTTCTTGAAGGGCGACATGGCCACGCACGAGGACTTCTCCATGCACCCTCCCATGATTCTCACGGTCCGTGGCGCAGGCTGGACTGTCGATGGACAGAGAAGACACTGTCTTATTCCTTATAGCCTTGTGAGGTATGGGCTGCCACCCGAACCAAAAAACCGAGCCTTTGGCCCAAAGCTTTGATCTCACCCCGAAATGTTTGGAACTGGGGATGGTATCAGTCTGCGTCTGTTTTAGTAAGCTGTGCTCTCGGGCTGATGAATCAGATCAGCAAGCTAACGGCGATAGAGTCGGTAATTACTGCATGTTCTATGGGATGTTCAAGGGGCAGGAGAAGCGAAGTTGTAACAAAACATTCGCAGGCCAGGCAGGGAGTTGCTCTTATAGCTTCCGTAGCAGGATGTATCAACAGAATCCTAGGCTTCGAGGGTCTCTCATTCTGCAGTACTAGTTTGGGGTATAGTTGCAATCCCCAGGAAATCATGACCAGTGAGACTGCACTTCCCTGCAAGACATGATTAAGCCATGTTGTATGATTCTCAGATCTAAATATCAAGGGCGTTTGCAATGCGTTAAAAGCCTGGCCAAAGTGTCTCTGTTTCGTAGGACGCTGCTGCCTTTCTCTACTCTTCTGCGAGTGGCGGTTAAAGGCGATAGCCGGGAGCAGCTTTGACGAAGCTAACATCGAAGTCAGCCGGACCTCACTCAGGGTCCTTGTTGCCTTACATCCAGGCTTCGACCGACCTCTGATCGCAAGGCAACAACGGACTTTCCACACGTGACACCCTACCTCCACCACCTTCAATGGAATACACACAGAAAGAAGCCTTTATAGCCCCCCTCAAACCCATTCCCGTCACCAGCCAGCAGGCGCCCGTCTAGGCCGACGGGTCAGGTCAAACTGGCTGGGTGGTGGAGTGGTTCAAGGTCGATAATCAATTATACGCCAACCAGCCTACTCGACGACAGGCTTAGCGAGTACCCGGGTTCGAATCCCAGCATGAGCACCAAGAGATGTAGCCACACCGGTGGTGAACTCTTTTTTTCATGGTCTTTGATGATAATTTTCCTTCTTGTTTGCATGATGAAACAGCTTTCTTTCATCTGTCGAGACTCTCAAGGCAACGTAAGTGAGACTGACTCTCCTCTATATCGAACTGTCTGTCAGGCAACTGCAGAGCTCCTCTCGTGACTACTGGATCAGAGCTCCCCAAAGTCAGATCTGGTTCTCATCCCCTACGTCTTTCTAAACCAATGACACTACAATCATTCACAAGCGCTCTCCTCTCATGTTCACTACCACACGTTAAAGATGTGGTATTAGCCGCCTCCCGAATCAACTCCTATCGAGAAGCACCTCGGTAGCATCTTGAATATCCCTCCCCGGGTAGCTAGCTGTACAGCTCAAAGAAGAATGGACCGGATTTAATGACAGGTTCGCCTCCCTCTTCCACCCAACCACAAAGCCCTTCGTCGCCTTGCCTCAGACACCACGGCCCTTGTCGCCCTGAACCAGAAGCCGTAAGGCCCATTTGACAACCCTCGCTTATCATAATCCAGCCTTTTCAGCAGACCGAGACCAGTCTCGCCTACATGCTCCACGAGGTAGACGCGGATATCGACGTCCCGGCCCGATTCCCCCGTATTGGTGTTCGGATCGTCAAGGATTATGGACCCGGTGTTCCGCGTTCTGACACCATGACGCCCATCTCGCCTAAGGCTAGCACAAAGACCAGGATCAATACCACGCAGGCTGAGAAGGAGTCTTTCATGCCGGCGACATGGCTGTTTGTGACCACTTTGTCATCGACGTGCCCGATGTCATCATGGTCAAGAAGCTTCACATTAGCACCGGTAAGCATTGGGGCTATAGGGCTTCTGGTATCGAGCAAGCTATTCCTCGCGACTTTGTCGAGTATGGCTTGCAGATAGCCGGCCCTATAGCTGTAAAGAACTAGTTCAATGCTTGGTTGTGCGTCAGTGTTGACATTCTCGGGAAGTGATATTGATTCTTGGACATGGGTAGGGTTTACTTTTGACATAGACTGTTAGATTTTACCATTGCTTGATCTACAGTCCGAGACTCAACCAGAGCCAGGACTGAGAGAGGAAGCTGCGCTGGATTGGGAGCAACCAAAAGCCTTTCGGAGTGATTAAGAAGCGTACACGTGTACAATACGGATGGGGAGTAAGATAGATATCCTTCACTAAGGGTTTCCTGCTGAATACTACACCTACCCATCTCTGGAATATACATCTTGATGTGGTCTCCGTCTCCTTCCTAATTCTGAAAACCTGTCTTATTTTTCATTTCGAACCTTCCCCACGCAACTTTTCGAGCAACACTTTGGTATTATCGGGGCCCCAAGAAGATTTTGACTTCCTTCCTTCACATCCATCGCACTGGGCAGTATAAAAGGACATCTCTTTTTAAATTGTCAACTTTCTAAATATCCCGCCCACTTCCCTCGGCGAACAAAGTTCTCTTGCCAAAAACAGCAACTGCGAAAGAACCAGTCTGCCTTCCCAGTACTTTCGAACAGGTAAATTTGCAGCTGCTTTATTCCGTCTTCAAAGTCTAACCAGCCTGCAGCCACATCAAATCGAAGGCGAACATCGACTGTCATCATGGCTACCGAGAGAACCGTTGCCGTCCAGTTGAAGGAGGACTGGACAATGGAAAAGGCATCGCTTGCCTTCCTCTTCCACCCGAGCACCCATCTCTTTCGAGAGGTCAAGAAGAACACATTTGCGTGGCTCCATGTCAGCGAAGAGTTCGACGGACACTATGGCAACGAATGGGCTACCATCACGCCCCTCACCATGACGCCTAATGGCCTCAGCGATATGTTTCCTGGTGGTCAATCTAAGATCGATGTTCCATGCCGGATTCTTCGGGTCGGACTCCGAGTTCTCAAGGATTGGACAGAGGACGATGCCAACTATCTCAAGGCCGCGACGTTCTCGAATCACCCCATGTCACCCTTTTACGAGGATGAAATGCTAGTTGGGGAGTGGTTTAACATCGGTGTTCCGGAATTGATCATAGTGAAGAAAGTCGGCCGCAATTTTACGCCTTCGGAAGACGCTTACTTCATTCATCGCGACTATGTGGACTTCGGTTACGAGAAGGCGGATGTGAAGGGCAATATGCACGGCATGATCAAGCCAGGCGGATTATTTTTAGGTTAGATCCTGACCATTCAATGGTGAGCGAGGTTCGTTTCCTCGATCATGGGGATCCCCCGAGTCAGAACAGTCCCAGCTATGGTAAGTCATGCCTTGATTGCGTACCTGAGATTCCCGATCTAATATTAGGGATTCATAGCGGGGGCTAGGGATTTGAGACTGAACATACATCAAACGAGCAGCTACAGAAGAGGCCAACCGGGTGCATTGACGGGAGAGACAAAGAGGACATGCAACCAGCCAGAAGAAACAACAACCTTGGGGATTTCAGTCTATAGAAAATACAGAAAATCGCCGGGAGTATCAAAAGAAAACCACAATGTGCCCCCTACCCGTGAACGCCAAATCATGTACCCAATTATACACAGGAAATCATTCCGATCCCTTGTTCTCTTCCGATTCCTTATCCCCCTTTGATCCTTTGATCTTGTCCCAAACCTTTCCAAACTTATCCTTGAGCCAATCCCAAACTCCAATCATGGCTTCCTTGCCCTTCTGCATGGCGTCTTCATCGGCTCCTTCGCTCTCTTCGTCATCTCCTTTCTCGTCATCGTTCGACGCGGACGCGGAGGGCGTCGGCTGGGGAACGGGGTCCACCTGAATGGACTTATCAGGGGTAGCCGACTGTCCCGCTGGTGTGCTGGCAGGAGCGGGGACCTGGGTGGTGGTGTACGGGGGCACAGGGTCCTCGGGCTCTGGAGGCGTATCCTCGGACTTGTGAGTGCCCATAGTAGTGAGCGGCAGGCGCAGAGTGCCATTGTTGGGCTCTGGGATGAGACCGACGGAATCGCACAGGATGTTGTACACGTTGATGTTTTCTAGAAACGTTAGTCCAAACTCATGGTGTGACATGATATTCGCGGAGCACACTTACGGAAGTTGTCGATCTGGCTGTTTGGCGGATGCGGGAAAGCCGGTCCGCGGGCGATGAAGATGGCGCGCATGAGGGGATGCTCGTGATCGTACCCATGCAAACCGCGGGGGTTGTAGACCGTACCATCCTTCAGTGCCTTCTCGACATCCATCTCTTCTTTTGTGACAATGGCCCATCCGGCCTTGGGAACGATCCACAGGGGTGCAATACGCTTGTTCCTGGAAAAGTGGTAGCGCTCAGGCATGTTGACGTCGCGGAGGTAGACCTCAAAGTTGGGGTTCGTCTTGGACTTCTCGACCAAGCCATCGTATAGCCCCTGAAGGTCATCTGGGTTCTTTGGCCGGAGGCCGTACAGCGGCCAGCCGTCGGTATGCTCAATCTTGGAGGTGTCGACGAGGTCCTCAAGCTGAAGCAGGCGCGCCGTATCTGTTGTGGCCATGCCGTGATCAGATACGACAATGACATTGACAATCTTTGTGAGGTTGCGCTGCTCGAGAGCCAGGAAGAGCTGATCCATCATAGCATCGGCTGACTCAATGGAGACCCGGATCTCCGTGCTGTTGGGTCCGTATCTATGGCCGTCCGCGTCGACGTTGGGCACATAGGCGGCGATGAGCTGTGGGCGCATGTCTTCAACCTTCGCGGTCTTGTCTTCCATGCCCGGCTTGTCAAGGAACTCAAGGATCCTGCTGACCTTGTTGTCCAGTACTTCTTTCCCATTGAACTTGTCGAGGAATGTTGGCTCAACACCGAGGATGTGCGCTTCACTGCCGGGCCACATGTGAATCGCGGAACGAATGCCCTGCCTCTCGGCTGTCACCCAGAACGGCTCTCCACTCCACCACTTCGCATCGAGACTGCGTGCTGGGTCGGTATAGTAGAACTCGGCCTGCATGTCGGGGTCCCAAAACGTGTTTCCAACGATGCCGTGACTCTCGGGGTGAAGACCAGTCGCCAGCGTGTAGTGATTCGGGAATGTGACAGACGGGAAAGCCGGGAGCATGTACTTTGGTGAAACACCCTCCTTCACAAAAGCGTTCAGTCTCGGTGTGATCCCACGCTGCAGAAAGTCGGCGCGGAAGCCGTCAAGACTGATAATGATCGTCGTCGGCGCGAAGAGCGCCGTGCCATTGCTGACGAACTCGGCCTTGTGTGTCGACCTACTGCCGATTGACAATTTCCACGCCACCAGAAAGAGGATTGCAAAACCGACAGCAATCGTGCTGTGTATGAGCAGCCAACGGCGCCAAGTCCTCCTCTTGTCACTCTTCGCATTGGTCACAATCTTGAGTCTCTGTCGGTCGAGTTCGTCGCTATCGTCCCTTTCGCTGCTTTCGCCAGTCGAGCTCCCCTCCTTCATGGCCCCTTCTTCCATCTCGTACATCAGCTCCCCGTCCTCGCCGTGGGTCGCCTTCTCCAGCAGCCGATCCTTTTTCTGTTTCCTCCTCATACGTCGTTGTTGGCGCCTGTCCTTTTCGTCGAGGAGATTCTCGGATGAGCCATCTCTGGATCCGGGCCGTTGGCCGTCTGGGCCTCGACCGAATAGCTTCAGGGGGTTCGGGACAGCGAGGCCAGATCCTCGGCGTTGCAGCTCCTTTTTCTTGCGTGTCTCCTCGACGAGGTTTTCGATCTCTTCTTCTTCCATGAAAACTAGACTGTCGGCGGCACGCAGCTCGCGGCTGTTCCGCGCACGCAATTGCAATTGGTCATCGTCACTGTCGCTGTCCTGGTCGCTTCGCGTGCTGTGGATGGACGAGGCGTCGTCGTCGTACGTATCGGGGGCAAGGAGACTCGTGTTGTCGCGGTCCGCCCGGGACCTTGCGCTGGGACGGCGTATCGACATGGTTTGACGGGAGGTGCCGGAGGGCAAAAGGGCGAAGTATAAGTCGTTCCTAAGTCATGGACCCGTGATGTTTGTGAGACGTAACCTCTTTTTGCTTGAAGTAAACGCCGAGCCGAACAATTCTTTCACTTAATTTCTTTGGATCCCAAAATCGCAACCGGGACTCGAACCCCTGTGACGGACCACCTTGATGGCAACATTAGCTTATCGTAGCGATAGAGTCACGTGGTGCTCCGCTTTGCTGCATCCCCCCGTTTTCAGGGTCCATCAGTCGACCTGTCACTGGCCCGTCAGTCTGGAAACGGGGCCGAGCACGGCGTGGCTCCGGTCCGCACGACCCACTTGGTGTACAGGCTAAAATGAGCTCTATTCCCGGGGTTCTCCTCGGACTCATGACCAATATTCGGGTCACCTTAGTCTACCTATATGACTTCTGTACATTTGCCTCTCTTACCTGGGCGTGCTTTTCGACGTACCTTGGTGAGCATCGCCTACTAGGCATGATTTCTACATACCTCCTTATAGCATTACTAGCGTATTTTGAACTCAGAGCACTCGGCTATCTCTGTTGACTTTGTTCCTCGCCCTCGGGCCTCTCTGCCAGCACAGGAAACCCAACACCAGTTCGACGGCAGAAGCCGCTACTTCATTAAGTCTGTCTCGGCTGAGATATGCGCTAGTCTATTTTCCAAATTCAATGAATCAGCTCGAAGTCGTGTGGCTGTAGAGCTGAGCAACTGGGATACCTACACAATAGGTACTAGGTTATCGCTCAATACCTTACCTCTCTTTTTAGCGTTTCTATCACTGCTACTGCTATTATTGCTGTTTTGAGTTCGTGATTTCTTCATTCCCATTGAGAATCACGCTGTGAAAAGCGTAGTACGATGATCGTTTATGGTAGTAGTTTTGAGCAAGCTGGCGGCCAAGGGGTACATTAACCAGCATTCTAGCTTGTCATCCGCTTACGGAGCCACCCCATACTCGAAAATATCGGCATCCTTGTGTGCCGCGTGAATAGTGGCGGATGGCGTCACATTCCTCTTACTTGTATTGTGTCGGGAAAGAATCGAGGTTAGAAACACGTCTCAGTGCAGGCGTTGGAGCTCGTCTCCAAGTTCTTCCTCGGAAAGCCTATCGTGAAGGATGGTAGTTGGTAACACAATCAGCCCTCAGCTGGGAATACGACCTCAGATTGTGTCTCCTGTTGCGTCCAGACCGCCGATAGTCCATAATCAGAGGCCTCAACAGTCGAAAAGCACCAGCCTCAGCACGAAAAGGCATGTCCTGTTCGTGACACAAGCTGGCGCCACCATGGAAAACGCGGAAGCTGCGCTCACACTGATTGGCCGCCTTGAGCAAACAAGCAATTTCTATAAGCCTACCCTCTCCTTTCTGTCTCACACCCCTCGTCTCGTGATCCCCAGGTTCTGCAGACGTGAATCAGAGGGAAACAGGTGTAGTAGGAGGGCCCTCTCAAGGTCTCCGAGATTCCCCCTGAATAGTCGTGGTGGTACTCTACTATTGACTCTGGTGTAAATGAGGTCTAGGGGTTCATCGTATCGAGTCTCTCACTGGTGATCTTCAAAAGGGTCAAAACTCTCAATGGAATTCCAGCTATTGCATTCTAGACAGTCGACCAATGAAGGTTCTACACACACAGTACGCCGCTAGCCTATCAACCTCTTGAAGAACTTTCGTTATCTTTGGGAGCTGGTTCTCAAGCTTCGCCGACATGCTCCGGCGACATGCATCGATTTCCCTCCTTGAACACCAGCGTCGTGTTTCGGACGCCATCTTGGAGCCGCGATAATGGGAGCCCGAAGAGTGCATCGAGCCCAATAATCCGCTGGAAACCCCATAACGAGGTCTTCCGGCGCTTCTCTGATGATGCGACAGAAGACGAGGGAGGAGCTGATCGCATGACATTCGAGTAAGTTTGCTCCGAGGAGGTGGCTATGTGTTGGAGACTCGGGCTCTTCAGTCAGAAGAACTGCATTGTTGTCGGTGGTCTCGCAAGTAGTATTGGCTAAGAGACATCGCAGAAAAGCCGAGATAGCATACAGAAACGCCGTAAATTCACTTCACTCTCATCTCAATAAGGACGAAGTTGCCACAGTTCTATCCAAAAGTACCATTGGCAAGCAGAGTGACCCCAAAGCAGATCTTCATCGGATTGCTTGGGATATACAACGGACTAAAGAGGCGAAGCTAGGGGAGGGAAAGACGAAGAAACTTATCGAGTGCTTGGATCATTACCAGGGAGTCTTTGATATTCTGTCACAA